CATGCAGGCAATTGAACTGGACCGTAGCTCTTTGGACTTTGCACGCATTCCCTTAGCTGCATATTAAGTTTGTAGACCCCTGATTTTGGAGTCCAGGGCGAGGAATATCACCCATGGCCCATGCTTTATGAACGCGACCTTTATCCAAAAACGGGATGAGAGAGTGAGCAGCGCAGGTTATGTTTTGATGCATGGGAATCTGAATGTGAGAGTTCGGAATAGGATATTTAAGGGTTTAGCAACTTTTGAGAGCAAGCCCAACGGTCTTTTTCTCCCCAGGAAGATCAGTGGAAGATGGGAGAGTTAGCATCAAGGTGCCATAAAGTAAGGAGCACACCTGCACGGTTTTCAAAGGCCTATGTTTGCTCTCACAATCGAGACTACAGGGGCAGTGATGCGTCAGCAATGTGTCTGTCCAGTATTTTAGGTGAGTTGTGATTCTGAACTCTAGTGAAAAGGGACTTCTATCCCTCCTAACACGGAAATTGGACTGGTGCCCTGGATATAAATGGTCGAATCCATTCATGGATGGGATGTGTGCATCTCGTGTATCTGCAGTCGTCGACCGCTAGCTCAAGCAGTCATCTCCTTGCAGAAGGCGATGGTAAATACAGAACGGAAATTTCTGAAAAAATAGCCGCTCATGCCTCTCCCTCCCCGAGTCCTATTACCCGCACCGCATAACCCAGAGAGTGAAAGACAACAAAATCCGAAAAGTTCCAGGTTTCCTTCGTTCGATAATTAGTCACTCAGATTTTTACTATTGAACACACTTTTGCAATTATTCAGGCGTCCGCACGGTCAGAACTAAGGTTTACAATTCTTTAGACCTTATTCCGTTGTTTAAAATCCAGAGTGTATTTCTATTGTGTGGAGTAGGCTCCTTTCCCATGAACCTTGGGCTTAAGTCTAAGTTCTAGGATTACCTGAGCCCCCATCAGTGGCGATGATTGGATCCAAACCATTTGCTTCTTTTGAGCTAGTGATTCGCCTATTAATTTAACATACAGCATGATAGGTCCTTTCTACCTCTAGGGATGCAGACTAGCCAAACAGGCTTCATACCCGCACTTCCGTGGTGATATGCTGCTCTAGCTACTCCAATTTGCTCCGTTGAGTCCTTTGACTGCTAATGACTGGTCGGATTTGCCCCTCATCCTGCAGTGCTTCCCCCGATAGCGCAGATGCAATCAATCCAACGGCAGCCAGCCATTCTTGCCAGCGCACCCACAGCCGAACACCTACAGGGAGATTTCGCCGCACCCGTAAGAAAACCGCAAGTAAAGCCAGTGTGCAACATTGTGGTGCATATCCAATATTCATAGTTTCGGGAAGGGTCCCAGCAAAAGAGCACTGTCCTTGGTCTCAAGAGCTCCTTCTTCTGTCCCGAAATCGGACTCAAACCCTAATATTTCCGCCTTCACCAAGCGTTTCCGTTTCTCGCTTTCCACCCCGAATTCGTTCTCCGCATCATTGTCCCTCGAGGGCTTTGGCTGCTAGACGAATACGTCCGAATCATTTTAATACTAAGAAGAGCACGTAAATCTTGTTTTCAAGTCAATCGTCCTCCTATCGCCTGGTCCATCAGCTAAGGTCTTCATCCATATCGATACAGAATCATCATGTTTTCTTGGGGAGGCGGCCTATGTGAGCAAGACCTGTCTCCTGTCCCTTCTGTTCCTTTTTCCTCCTTTTTAACCCGTGGCATCCACGTTTCATCCCTTGCAATCCAATAACCACAAAAGTCTTTTGATACAAGCATATTTCGATTCCAATTTTGCAGTTTGCTTGGATTAGATGCACTATTCCACCCTTATACTCCAGAGCAAATCTTCTTAGAAAATTTTTTCTCGTCTCCGTTCTGCCCTCGCTACGAAGTTACCAATTTTGTGGGAAGGACTGGCAATTCTATACTTCCCGCTATTCACAAAGTGTTCCCTAATTATGTATACTTTTCAATCTTTGACCCCTGTTATTCCTAGTATCATTATTCCTCATTGACTACTGCTGCTGCTGCTTCCCCGGTGAAGAGATACCTCATACTGAACCAGGCTCTACACCCCTGGGTGCATCTAGCTATTATTATCACTATAGAACTAACAACTCAACAGCTGTACCGACCATTAACTTTAATCCTGATGAGGAGAGAATTCCTCCACTGCCCCCGACGCCTCTTGATTTCCCCAACTACTCCTCCAACTCACCTCCAAAACCACTAAATGAGGAGAGCTGCAATGAGTTACACCGGCTGCTGGCCGCAATAAGGAAACCGCAGGATGTTTCTCCCGCTCACCTGGAAGCTCTCAATCTGACCACTGAATCCGATATCCTTATGTCAGATATTGTTCCCTCAGGTGTCCTAAAGACTTTACCACCATATCAATGGACGGAGCAACCCCCAACCAAGAACGCTTCAGAAACAGTCGAAATGCCAATTCCAGTGTTAATGAGTAACGGCTGTCCGTTCCCAACCAAGGAGAGATATGACCTTCTAAAAGAAGAAATCCTCTATGATAACGATGACGCCTTTCGAACAGTCTCTCGGCTAGTTTTTCGGCCTGGCCGCGAGAAGATCAAGCTCACCCAGAGCAGAAAATTCTGGGCTGGTCTTGATCAGGTAGCACAGTATTGGGACACGACTCTAGATCAATATATTGAGCGTCTTGCAGATGATGGCCCTTCCAAAGATGGAAACGAAGCTTCGGGTAAAATGCATGTTGATAATTCACCGGCTCCTAAACAACACAGTGATGTTGGGCAAGTAAGTAGGAATCGTACTGTATGCGGAGCCCAACCCACTGAAATAAGTAATGAACCGTGCAAAACCCCCAACACAAAAAAGACGTATATTGGTCGAAGAATTGGCACAGGTCGTGAATGCCCAGAAGATGTACGCGAGGAGACGCTGCGTGGCTTTGTGGAAATGGTTGCATGGCCATTTGGATGCCAGGCCAGCATTCCCACGCTACCCCCTCGCCTTCAGTTGAAAGGAATGCTTTTCCCAGTCCGCCAAAATTTTGTTGTTGCTCGATCACCTCAGGACAGACAAATTGCAAGGAAAGGCATTCTTGAGGGCCCTATGATATTCGTGCAATGCAGAGGTGAAACTTCATTCCACGACAAGAACGACACGGCGGGGGGCAGATTTAGGGAGATATGTGATCTTTTACGCGAGGTTGCTGCAATGCTCCTGTTTGCACAAGAGAGGGCCAGGGATGGTGCAACAGAAACACGACCTGGCGATGGAAAATGGTGGACCACAACGCCACGGTGGGGTGGAGCTGATAACTCGGGTCCTGAAGCTGATAAATCAAATACCGATAAGCCTAAAGAAGCAACCCAGGATTCAGAAGATCCATTAGCAAATAAAAGATCCAAATATGACAGAACTTCGCTCCCATTTAGACGGCATGGTTCAAGCGGCTCGAAAAAATTGAGCGTGGCCGAGAGGTGGAAAATATTACAACCTGGTCCAAGCATGTGGGATAGGAAGCTGAGGTATACACAGATTGGGACAGACAGGGACTCTTCATTTGATGATGTAAGCCTGTGGAAAATCTCTTCCATATTGCCGTTATAAATCAGTGATTTAATGTGAGCTTTTCAAACTAAAAATTACTTAGATATTCATGGTATCGTCGATCAACCACCACTTTTCAATTCTTCATCTCCGCGTCCACTCGAAATACCTGGAATGGTTGATAACCGGTAAGGTTAACTTCGAGGACGAGACCGGAGACAGCTCGGGAACTCCATGGTACGCCCTCCAGTTGCGCCGAACCAGATGGCTCGATCTCCTTGATGCAAATGACAGGTTAGAAGGCCTGGATGGGCTTTGGGCGCTATTCTCTTGGCTTATGAGATAAAATTTTGCATGGCTCTTTCGATTACACTACAAATGGCAACATGGGGAAGTTTTACTTACGGCATATGAATCACATGTTTATCGAGAAATCTGACGATGAGGTTGGAGACCAATTTGGGATGTATAAAGTTGAACACAGAATAATACTGGACATGAGGGACAGTTATTTTCAAGCTGTGGAGGGAATGGACGGCTCGGGGACATATCTCTCTGTAGCATTTATGTGTTGGAACCATCTCATGATTTAATGACATGACTGCCCAAGGGTGAGTAAAAATACAAGTGCTCTTCATTTGTGGTCCGAGGGATCTTTGGGGAGGGATTTAGAGCAAATAAACATTTCATAATAGGTATATATTGTTTGCTATTTATGCATTAGTTTCTTGGACATTCTCCGAGACAGTTCCCGCTAAAACCATGTACGATAATGAAGAAATTCACGACATATATTTTACAATGGGTTCTAATTCCGTTAGCTTGGTATTAACATTACCCTTGAGTTATATATATATATATCCTACAACTTGAGCCTGATGCAACCTGCTTCATTGTGACCGGTGGGTATTCATATTGAGCCCAGGGGCAGTCGTTCAAAGCGATACCGCATATGAATGTAAGATATTACACCTTATTCAGAGCGTAGTTAACGCTCTTACGGCTACGACCAGATTTAACTACTTCCATAAAACCAACTCGGCTACACATCGCAGCTCGTTCGGCAAACACAAACCCGAGCTAAACTCTACCGGAGTATAATATACAGACAGCACTCTGAACAGTAGGACATGCCGCGGATCTTCAAGTCGCCATTGGCATATCACTAAGCATGAGCCCGATTCTTCTTTGGCCTTGCTATTGCCCTCCTCATCTTAGGGATGTTACCCAACAGGTCATCGATACGTTGAACTGGCCTAGTTTGACCGCGATGGTGGAGACGGCGGCAGCTACATTCGGCATTGCTTCAGCATGTTCGAGAGGGCAAAGCCGAAGGCATTCCCGATCTGTCTTCGACGGATATATCCAATTAATTATCGACTGACAACGAGTTGATGTGTTGATTTGTGTCAGCGGTTCTGCAGGACTGTGCAGTGCCGTATGGCTTGCTCTATATGGTATTTCCGTACAGTATTTTATCATGAATCAAGCGCGGACGAACGAGATATTTATCGACAAGTATACGGCGCTTGGGGAGAGAAGAAATCCTGGTACAACTATCGGGTCCAAGGGGTCGAGGTTGAGAGTGTGCTGCCACGATCGATCCTGATGCGTATCCTGTCGAGGTGATGATGACTGCTAAAAAATGGAGCAGAGGAGGTATTTGATGCGAAATATGTATTGGTGAGACTTTTTTTCTGTATTTTCTACATTAACTCATCTCCAGACTTTCTCCCTTTCTTCTTCCCATATACTAGCATGTGCAGTGGAAAAGGGCGCTGACGGCGTCCCACAGCACCACCGTTCGCAAATCTCTAGGTTGCAAAATGGTTGGGAACAGCAGCGATGCTGTATGGAGAGTAATGGATGTTTATCCACGAACGGATTTCCCCGATATTTGCAAGAAGGCTATCTTGAACTCCGCCGTAGGAAACAAATGCAATTGTCCCCCGCAAAGGGGACTCACTTGTACGGCTTTTACAAAGAGTTGCCACATGGCACCGTGGTGAGCGACTTGATACCCTTAATGAGCGCGCATTTCAGATTTTCCGACCATATAATATGGATATTGCAGAAACAATCTGGTGGTCAGCGTATTCCATCAGACAACGCCCCTTCCCCTACCCCTATTTCTTCTGTGACTTAATTTTTGGATGTTGGGGTTAATTAGTGGTATATAGGTCGCCACGTCTCTCCATGACATAGTTTGCAAGTTTACCCCGGATTATATTCAATTTCAACCAAGATTCGCTATTGCTCATGTATTGGTTCTCTCCACCAAGCGTACGGAAGTCGAGCAAGCACAAATACCCGAGTGTTTCTGCCACATCATAGGTAAATGGAGAATCAAATGTGAGCACATCGCCAATCTCATCTTTGTAGAGAAAGTCACTGCCTGGTTACTTTTCTAGTACGAACTCCGATGGTATAGGCCTTCACAAGACTTTTGTTGACGATGAGAGTTGCAATTCTAGCCACGGCCATGCATACAGATTCTATGGTATTGGCATTAATGATGGAGCAATAGTAACTGCACGGCCAGATCAATGTAAGTCGGGATTGTGCCAGCTCAGCTGCAGATATGAAGATTGCGAGTTACTAATAGCTTTTTAGACGTTGCCAAAGTCACTCGCCTTGAAGATTTCGATGGTGTTCTGGAATTTTTCCGCGGTTTTCTTCTACCTACGGCGGGGGAATTTATGGATAGAGATGGTAGGGAGGCTTATTCCTAAATGCTTACGATACAGGTACCTTTACGCCGCTGTTAGACTCTTATGCTCCTCTTGATATATCCTATTACTAGAGGTTTACGGGTAGTGTGACGGTGCTCTATCGCGAATTTGCAGATTATGCGCATCGTACGACATCCAAACATCGTCGAGCTGGAGGCTTTCTTTGATCTCCCATTCCAGTTCATTGTCTTCTTCAATGATGCCAGGCCGTTGGCCAATCAGAGATATTTTGTCATCCCTTTTTTGCCTATGGGAGCACACGGTCCGGTGTGTGAGGTGCGTGGTGACGATACTGTATGACGCCGTTAAATGGTATATATATGCTATGCTTTGCTTTGCTTTGTTGCTTCTCGGGCATCGGAGAGATCTCGGAGACTCTTTGTTGGCTTAGATGTGCAACTTTAGATGCAGAGAACGAAGCGTTCCAGAACAACCAGGCCACGATATGCTTTAATTATTTGATGTGGGATTCGAAATCGTCCATCTACTTGTATATTTTTCGGTGACCAAAGGTGCTCTAACTCAAGGGATAGGACAAACTCAATAGATCAATTTCTAATTCCTTTGGGAGGTGCGCAGTGATTCAGCTTCTTCTCCCAATAGATATGCTATGGGGGAACAGTTGACATGGAAGTGAGGTATGTTTGTGGCGGTGACGATCGGAATCTCCATCCCAGTGGTTTATATACGTGCGCCTTGGATTTGATGCTAGGGTAGTTATCCTTGACTTTAAGATATCATGAGGGCTCTGTATACCCCAGGTATGAAAGAAAACTTGCGACATCTTCGATCCATCCTGTTGAATTTATCAGCTTTAACATGGAACACATGATTTACTTCATTCCTGACACTGGCACGCAACTACCTCACATGAGCTTTCCAAGCCATCTTCATCACAGGCAACTGTTTATTAATCTGGATATAACAATCAGCAATGCCTGTCTCCTCTTTTGCATGATCTCACGATGGATTCAGGAGAGTGTTGTTCAACCTGAGTGGCATTTATCTGTGGATAACAGGGGTAACAGGGGAGGGAAATTGAGGAATCACCATTCAAGTAATTACCAATTACTCAGAGGTTCCTATATTACAAGCAGAGTGTCTCTTCGGTGGAGAAAGACCTGACAGCTCACTGTAGCTGTTTCGCTAAATGATTTCAGGAGAAGGGAGTCAAATTTCCCCTGGAAACTTGCAGATATTCTTCGGCCAAGACGTCATTGTTATCTAGATCCTGCATTGGGGAGTCAGTGTAATATGACCTGAACCGGCTGCCACCCCCTGCCCCTTTTACTGGATGCAATGGCGCTGTTGATATGTGATAGAGAAAACACTCATTCCATGAAAGATGTTCGCGTGGGGGTCAGACCTAACGAGTTGAGGGGGAATCTGGAAGGGTGAGCAACTTTTCCAAAGGCAGCGGCTGAAAATGTGACGGGGGTTTCCTTTGTTGAGCACGATTATTACTGGAAAAGATCTTCACTGCGTATGTTCAGAACGAGGTTCCATCCTTTGAGCTCCCTGCCAGGACCCTAGTGATTGGTCTTGGAATTGTGCTGCGTTCGGTTAGATGGGTTGCAAAGCTAGTGTGGGGTTCCTCACTATTATTTATTGGCTACATCCCAACACAACATCCTCCGTCAATTGTGCTTTAACATAACAACAGTACTAATAATTAGCGGTTGTGAAGAGGGACTATTAATACCAAGGCAATAATGGACGATTTCGCTTCCTGATACTGGTCCTTTCTTGTAAGTTATGACAATACCCCGAGGTCCTCTGCGCCGATCCTTCAGATTGATATGAATTCCACAGGATCATGGACACCTCAAAGTACCTCTTCAGCAAATTATTTCAAGATACTGCCGAGATCGCGTCCCCTAAAAAGGAGGTCAGAGTTTTATTTTTGCCCTTTTGCCCTCTTCTAGAAGAAGACAAGATTTATGCTTCATCGTGTTGACCGTCGAAAAGCTAGGGCTTCACTGATACTTGCCAAGTGTCAAGACAAACTTTCAGGACGTACATGACCGTCCGACCAATCACTAGATAGTAGAGTTTTACTCCCTGTCGTTTTCGCCAAGGCTGCCGTCGATTTGAAGGATGTGTGATCACTGACCTGGAGAAGAGTCAGTCTGGATTGAAACCCTAATATCCGCGCTCAGTGACGTTACCAGGATAATACCATCCAGTATAACATGTCGTTCAGCGGAAAATTTGGACGGAGGATCTTGCAGGCTTGTGGCCAGGGTTCCAGATCTTGCCCAGGCTTGACCCTTCTCAAACAATATCCAGGATGCATCCAATGAGAAAGAAGGGGGCTATGGACCGGATTTGTCCATTGCACAAGACTGATCATATTTTGAAAGATCTTCTCTCGTTGGCTTTTAGTTATCTTCAGTCTGTTCATTCATGATATTACCCGACAGGATTTGGACGGGCGGCTCGGGCCATTGCTGTTGAAACAAATGTCAAACATTGCACAGCCGTAAAAGATTCCCCGGAACAGTTCCGCACGGATTCTTTTTCACTTAGATAGGATCGAATATGGAGAGGAGAGAAATCACAAATTCAAAGCACGTTGCACCATGCGTCCAATATATCAATATTGGCGCAAGGGCCCTTTTCACTTTAGCGGCCAGTGCGCCCACCCAGTTAAATTTATAATATCTTTATACTATCTCGAGCCTTTTCAGTATGGCGGTGGAGGTAAAGTGTACCTGATAATACTTGTAACAATCCTTTCTCTCAAATCAAGGAGAAGCCACGACTATGAGTATACAGGTGGGATAACCATTATTATTGTCAAGTGGGATAATCACCAAAACAAGAGTTTGATGAAAATTGCAGTAAGGTTATCCTAGAATGCCACCAACCGTGGTGTTGGGTATGATAGAAGATGGCTAGTAAGAAATGATTGGCCCACAGTTAAGAGGCAAGGCAGGACCCAGCTCCTCGGAAATGTCTAATTCAAGGTTGCAAGATACTTGGAGGATGACAGTCGTGATGGCGACTTTCCAGTCGGCAAGTTCGGACGCTGGAAGAAAATAGAACAACACACTGAAATGAGCGGATGATGGAAAATGAAATGAAGCAATCGTAGAACCTAAGGATTTGGTAGAGGGAGCGGAGTTATGTTATGTAATTGTGTGTATGGAAGGTGTACGGATCTTTCTGGCAGCAGTATTCCATGTAAACACCCATCCTTACAAGCATACAGACCTGAACCTGGTTAGTGCGATATTTTTCCACGGGGTTGTATCCGAAGAGGTGGCCAGGAAGAGCTGAAGACAAGAGAGGGAAATTGAGAAAGCCATGAGAATCCCTTGAATCCACTAGTGAAAGCCGAGGCGTGTGAACTTCTTGAAAATCTGGAGCTCCAGAGGTTCCGATGGAGGAGGAGGGTGATCTGCTGGAGATGTCCGGTGATGATTTTGTTTTGCTTTTTTTTTTTCCCTCGCTCGATTCCTCACTTTTTGATACACTATACAGAGAAGTTATAACGAAGGCGCTGAGTTCAAGTTTTGGTAAGTTTTCACTTGTCACCCTGATGGCCAGCGTTTCGTCTCAGAGGTAGGCTGCAAGCGTGCTTTTCTGTCTGCCAATCCAGAGCGCCATACCATGTCTCGATTACACGGTTACACAGTGGGGACGGGATCATTTATCGGGACCTTTATATTCCATTCAACGAGAAAAGAGATTAGGCGAATGAAAAATGGCCCAGGTTCCTGGTGGGTCTTGATTGGCACGCCTGGAACCCACTACAGAGACGGCGACGGGAGACGCTCCGCTCGAACTGCCCCAGCCGGACCCGCCCGTCTCCAGAAACCACCGGGGTCACCGTACCAGCATTACTTCGAAAGCAAAAGGAGCAGAGGTGGTATGAATTAGTATTTTCACAATTATTATTGAGAAGAAGGCAACCTGATCGGGGCAATAGTGACAATAATCGTGCATCCACGTTCCATGTTCCTGGGATGACTGTGGCCCCCTGTGGCTTTTCTCCTCAAAAGCTGGAAGCCTGGAACACTGACGGTGGCACCGCCCTTGCGCGAAGCTTGAGGACCGTCATAATTCCGTCAGCCTGCAAATGTTCAGGTCGACCAGGAGTGATTTTCCTGGCGTGGGCATCAGCATCGACATTATCGGTGGACGTGGATCATTTGTTCTTATTATTGCTCAAGATCACGTCGTCCTTCTCAAAACGAAATTAGCCCGTATTTTTGATCCCCGTTCGACAAGTCTTGCCCCTATCACCCTTGGGGGCGAATAGCACGGTGGAAAGCTATTATTGTTATTATTGCCCACGTCCTCGTGAGCGATGTCCAACAAGATAGCTAGTATATAAGACGCAAGCGTCATGGCTTACCGTTGGAAATGGAGGGGAAAACATTGGCCATTTTTATTTAATTTATCAACTGGCAACTGAGAAAGCCAGTCAAGAATACGAGAAGTTTATTTTTGATGCAAATAGGGAGTGGTATCAGCGAATGGAATCGAGAGGAGAGGAGGTTTAAGGATACGCAGTAAGGATATACACATATCTCATTATTCCAAGGCGCCTCGTACTGCCAAGTGCAGAGCATGTGGGGGTACTGGTACGCTGTAGTTGTATTGAATGGTGCGGTGTTGTTTATACAAGCGTAATGTAGCGGAATGTCGCAACTGGGTAGTGGGTACCGCGACACGATACCCTGCGCCCTGGAAGGTATTTTTTGGAGGGGGAATTCCCAGATGTTGAATACCGTACAGGTACACACATACATGTATGTATGTATGTATGTATGTATGTATGTATGTATTATGTATGCAAGTGCCTGCAAATGTTGGAATGGCAGAGCGTCAATATTCGATTATCCTTTCTTTTGAGCGTAAGAAATAATAGAATTCTGTGTGGACGATGAGCAGGCCGCTCATTGCATACTGACAAGGCAACCTCAGCCTCGACCAATTTCTATAACGAGGCAATCTCACGCTCGCAGAGGAACCACCGTCATGATCCTTCACGGTTCACAGCTTGAAAAAGCAAGGAAGAAAGCAAGAGCAAAAGAAAAGCTGTCACCGATCTCTCATGAGCCTCATGAGTCTTCTTCGAATGCACCCGCTCCTATCAAAATTTAATGAGATCTGACAGACATATTGATGCCATGATCAAGAATCTAATAAAATATTTACCCAAGGGCGAACCCGACAACCTGGATGCGGGAAATACGACCAGTTTCATGATATAAATGTAATCCTGGAATGCTTATCGTTTGTTTTTCCTGGATTTGAAAGCCCGCAGCTCGCCCAATCTCATACAGTGCTTAAAATCCGAGAAAAGCATCGCATTTTCACGGACCGTTATTCCACCCTCCCTTCTCTTTGTATGCAGAAGCCATACCGTAGTAACCTTGGAACCCGGATGGTCGTTTCCTTCGGGATCATTTCCCCCAGAGCTTACGGGAGGAATTGACCCCACCCTTCTTTTGTTTTTAAAGAAGGGCAGGAGAAAACATGCAAGGGAGACGGGGTAGTCGCTGAATATGAAGAAACTAGGGTATGAGAGTTTGTTTATTGGATTCGTAAGACTATCATCTTCAATCATGTTCGATACTCGACACTGGGATATATCTGGAATGGGTATCGGCTCTGGCAGGTGGGTTTTATGACAAATAGTTAACACTGTGCAAAGGGATCTAATCGAAGCATGGGTTATCCCTGTACGCACTTGGGCCGGAAGCTGTTTAGCGAAAGGGAGAAAGTAGGTTTGCCGGCTGGCAATCCAAACAAGTGGCCTGTAGTTGGTGTTCAAGCGTGATTGAAGAGCTTTTAATCGGCCTGAGTTTTCCCAAAATCTTGCAGGGGAAAGGTCCGATGACACACTCTTCTCTGGAAAGATTCGGGCGGATTGATTGTTTAGTGGACTTTGGAGTTGGAACCAAGATTTTCCAGAGTGTGTGTGCTGCTTTATTTTGCTCCCGTAACTATTTCCCCTCGGAAAAAGGAGTGGGTGGAGACGGAGGACATTGTGGAGAACTCAAACCGGTTCCAAGCTCCACCCAAGAACGTTAAACTCGCTTAACCAGTCTAACACTTCACCGTCGATCTCAAAAATCATCCCCAGGATTTCGGGGCTGTAGATTGCGATGTGGATTTTTGGCTTCGGCGATGTTCCCTTGGCCATTCTGCTAGCTCATGATGGGACGGTGATCACAATGGAACGGCAGATTCGCCCCGAGCTATTCGACAGCCAGATAAATTCTCATAGATCTGGTATTGGCCTCTTCGCTAGCAAGGGATGGTCCTTGACAGACTTCGAAGAACAGAATAAAGTCCAGATGCCCTCCCAATATTTTCACCTCTACTGCATTGTCGACGGTCTCTAAGACTCTAACTGGCTGCTATCAAGTCAAAACCAAAACAATCGCTTCCAAAACACCAGTTCTTCTAAACGATTCGCCAATGCTAGCAGCGGTGGTCTCGGATTTCTGATTATCCCATCGATATCACTGGTCATTAAGTGTCCAAGTTCCCCGCTGTGGTTCACAGATGTCGCAATTATGGCCGTTTAGCGCGCTTTTGATTTAGTTAGACTATCTCCCTTCGTTCGTCCGCTCGCCACTGGTTGCTTGGTGTCAGTTGGACACTGGGGTGGAAGATACTCGTGGGAGCCCCACATGGCAAGCTTAGCAAAAAACCGTCTCTTGCAGAGGTGCAAGGTGATAAAGAAAATGAGTTTGTGAGCGCTGATGGCGGAATGATCAAAATTCCAGAAACGGGAAACAGAGTTCTGTAAACTTAAAAAAAAAAAAAAAAAAAAAAGCTATCCGAAACGGCAGTTTCCAAGTTTCTACGGAGTACAATTTCCAAAGCCAATCATTTTGGGATATTGTTTTGTACTGCCCTCCTGAGCGACGTTTTTGAAGTAAAAAGAGGTGTTGTGACAATCAGTTCAGTTGGTGGTGTTTGGATCCTGGGGGTCATTATTTTATTAGCCTCCATTATTTTAGAGGCATGTTACCGTCCAGAGAAATGGCGCTGTACTAGTGATACGGACAGTCGATGCACTTGATGAATGAAGGAGCCTTATCTGAGTTGAAAGGCTGCAGCAAGAAGAGAGGAGCTGATATATAAGAAGTTGATTCGTATATGATTAGATAGGAAAAAGAAAATGTTACGAATCAGATAGTTAACTAACGGAATTCCCAACCGAGCAGATCATCAAATTGAAACATGCAACCAATTAATTTATCTGTAACTACCTGCTTTGACGCGTCAGAATGCCACCAACTTGCAATAAAAATAAAATAAGGAATTCTCTAAAATAGAGGTAACTATTGAAATTACAATTATTACCGTAAATAATTAAGAAATTATCTCTATCTGTGAAGTAGTAAGACTTATGGTATTTCATACTCTACTCTTATTCACTGATTGAATGGTTGTTATTCATATACAGTCTTACAAATAAATTCATATTAGCGAATTAAAGGTGACGAGAAAATTCCTATTCAATAAGTATTAAATGGGGACTAAATAAGAATTACTCTTTAAAATTGTAGTTAGTAAAATCATCTTCTTGATAGACTACAATAACTAACTACATAATATTCCAAGGTTGAATAGGAAATTATGGCGTTATACTGTGCTGTACGGGAATGGAATGGAAAGTACATATTCGGTATCGTATTATTCCAAGCAGCAGCAGCCTCAGGCAGGTTAACACAACGCCACGGAACCCAGACACAAGCCCCCTAGTGGAAGTCACCACCTATATAAGGCTTTGCTGGACACTAAATCTAAAGTCATGTAGCAGATAGCTTGCTAAACTACTTTTTACCCCTGGCGGAACGTCGATGAATTACGGGACGCTGGACAGCCCGGCTTTTTCACTTGAGTCTGGGGAGTGGGGAAAGTCACCAAAAGGAACCCTGCAGGGTCGGACAGCCAGCCAGAGCCTGGGCAGTATCAAGCGGTCAAAGTTGAGCCCGACAGGCTGGTAATTACGTAATTGGAGGAGGGCAGTCGCCCAGGAGAATAATACCATAATTACCTAGGTAACTATGTAGACAACAAATTGCTGGTGCCTACTCCGTATATAATTATTCATGGTACCATACACGTATGTATGTATAAGTGTATGTACTGTAAATACCCGGGTACTCAATTAGATATATGTATGGATTCAGTGTTCCGTACAATACAAGGCTTGTTTGTCACTTGTCACTTTCCTGTCACTCCGACTCCAACCTCTTCCGCTGTCATTAGTTACTCTTTAAGCTTCAATCGTCTTCCCCATTCTGTCTCCGCGTTGACTGTTGTGAATTCCTTGTCTACAGAACTCATCTGCATCTGCCATTGCTGCTCTTGAATACTTGTGTGATAAACAGGCTCACAGGCTCAGGAACATCAGCTGGCTCATTCGCTCTGTTCTCGCTGCGTATTCACTGGTCATCTTGTCCTGCCTCGCCTTGTCGCCCTACCAATTCCCACCATTTCGTAGGGTTCCCACAGCTAACCTCCTCTTGTTCTCTTTCCCACTCTGCGACAAATATCCAATATCTTCCACCTGGCGTCTGTCTCTGCATGTCGGGTTGTTTATCCTTTTGCCCCCTTCCGTTTGTCGACTGCATCGTTCCGTGGGAAGAGGCGGGAAGCTTCGCTTGCGGCGTTTCTTTGGTTGACTTCCCGAGCCCTGACCAAGGAACCGAAGTGCTTATTATAAATCTTTCGTCTGATATATGCTGTCAGACTGTCACAGGTAAAAGAGACAACAACTCCTTTATTCCCCCCCGACTTTACCGCTCCCGCTTGCATTCGTTGTGTATATGCGTAGAGACTGATTATCTTGTATCTTTCTAGTAGTAGATTAACATATATAGGCACATGCCTGTACGGTATATGTACTTGTACAGTTTTTAGCAGCTTAAGGTCTCTGACAGCGTCAATTTGATTCCCAAGGCCCCTTCCGCTTAATAATTATTTTTATTATTTCTTTATTTATATTTTCATTTTAAGAATGTCTCTGTGATTCATCATGCTATCGCCTTGTTGCAATTTGTGTCTTTGATGCTAGTTCCTTGCCTTCGAAGTTGATCTACATCAGGTTGTAGATGGCCTAGAATTTGGCGGATAAACTGCAATGGAGATAGCAATAGAAGACAAGTCCAGATCCCAGGTTTCTCCTCCTGGCCAACGCTTACCTCCGCCTCGAGGCTATTATGAAAATGGATGGCGCTGCTCCAATAATACCTATGAAGCTTCCAACCCCGACCCTCATAGCGCTCTTCCACGTGGACCACCTATGTATAATGCCTCCACACGGGGGATCCCTCACAACCCTCCCGAAATGCCCTATGGACGACCTGGTGGTATGCCTGTGCCATCACCGAGTCATCCAGAAACCCGGCCGCCGCCACCTCCCAGCTACCAGTCCATGAATGGCTCAAACGAACAACCACCGCCCATCCCACAACAACAGCAACCTCAACCACCGCCACAGCAACCTGGACCTGCTAATTTCCAACCGCGTATGCGAATTCCCCCAGATGGCCGTCATCCAAACGGTGAGACCCCTGCATTAGCAATGTTTTCTCACTCGGATCCAATGCAATCAATACCGGCCTCACAACCCTATACCCACGGCGCAGCTATACCTCCGCCTCCTGGGGTGTATGATACAAATAACTACTTCCTTAGTCAAGGTGCAATGCCACTATCTAACCGCCAACGGCGGACAACGCGAGCTCAGCAGGTAAATTCTGACTAACTACAGTTTGTACACCTTCTGTCGTCTAACTATGTTCAGGCTTGCGACCAATGCCGCTCCCGAAAGGCAAAATGCGATGAAGGTCGTCCATCCTGCAGCCACTGCAAAGAAAATAATGTTCCGTGTGTTTATAAGGATGTACCCCCTCAGAAGTAAGTTTTGAATACCTTAAATTATTCTGATTTTTGAAATAAACCTGAGCTGAGCTTGGTTACAAAAGGCAAGAAAGATCGACACAGACCATCCTTGAACGAATAGACCGACAGGAGAAAGACACGAGAGAAGAACTAATGACAAAGTTGAACGAAATGACCTCTCTTCTGTTCGAGGTCAAGTCACAAATGGATACCATGACTGGTGCTGTTCCTTCGAGGAGACAAACAGATTTGATGTCTAGCCTCAGCAAGATAGAAGAAAGTGCGAATTTGATGGCAGCAAATCCTAGACCACCGCCAGGGGTCCTTTGCTCCACTGAGCATTCATTCGATGCCTCCATGCATCGTTCCCTCCACGCCATACACCGGGATGAAATTCGACTCCAAGACACTCCGAAGATTGAAAATCCTGATACTGATACTCGGGAACTGTCAATACCAATAGAACACACGACTGCGGCTCACAAACTACTTTTATGGCCATCTATCCAGAAGCTATTCCCGGAGAGGATAGATGAAGATTATGTGATGCGCCTAGAAGAAAACCGGGGTCCCCTCAGGTTATACGGCCAAGGTGAAGGTGACATACTTGCGGACGTACCAGTTACATCACCAAACTCCTTAGAATTTGATAGTTCTATTGCAACCACATGTTCAGGAGACATATGGGGTTCTGGTTTTGGATTTCCCTCTGGGTCTGAACACACGAGATACTCAATTCAGCCTCATCCCGGTGGGTTAACACCATTTGGTAAGCTGGATCTTGATCGAGACGTCATTCGGACGTATTATCATAGTTATCTGGAGAATATGCACGCTCTCCATCCGTTCCTTGACGCCACGGTATTGAATTACATTATTTTCAATTTCATACGGCAGTACAGTCCGCGCAAGCCTTCCTTCTCATCCTTCGTTCCTCAACTACCACAGACTCCTCTCAAGCAATCGACTGCGTTTACAAGAGGGAAAAGAAAGAGACCTGCCGAAAGGACATTTGAAGTAAACGCTGATGCAGATGTGGAAACGACCGCCGCTTTGAGCCCCGTCATTCATAAGTCATTAGACAACGCAATTGTGCTTCTAGTAATTGCACTGGGATCAATATGCTCTGTGAAAACAGATGTTCCCGGACCAGTGGTTGTAGGACAAACGCATCCTAGTTCATCTTATCAAGCTGTCATTCCACCCTCGCCAATCCTAGCCGACCCTGGTGCGTCAATGGGATTCCATCCGTCAAAGGATGAGCTATATCCAACTTCAGCAGGACGTAACCAGAGAGTATCTGGAACTGGCCATGGGATCGATGGTCGGAACTTAACGGGCCAGGATGATCCCATTCTGAGGAATATGGATGTCATCCCTGGCCTAGCGTACTTTGCTTTAGCTTCGGATATTTTGGGCAATGTAGTGGGTGGTGGTGGTCTGAAACATACACAAGCGTGCCTTCTTGCGGCCTTATACACGGGCCAACTCGCGCGTCCGTTTTCTAGTCATGCTTGGATATGCGAAGCTTCAAGGGCTTGTCAGATTCTCCTGAGACCGTAAGCAAGTTCGCCTCTACTTCTGCACAACTATGTTATGAATTGATTCAGTTGCTGACCTCTTTCGAATTAGCCGGACATTTGACCGCATCCCAAAAGGAACACGCCAGAAAGATCTTATCAACTTTGCCTTCTGGACTTGCCTTCAGCTTGAAAGGTAAACCATCTCGTAGTTCTTGAGTTCTTTTGCTTTCAATTTATTAGTTGAACTTACGTCTCTATATGTAGTGATATTCTCGCCGAACTAGATCTCCCTGCAAGCGGTATAAGTCGGTTTGAAGATCAACTCTATTCCCAAGATGGCCTCTTTCTAAGCACGAGTGAACGACAGATGCCAGACCCATTTATCATGATTTATTACGTTGCGCAGATTCACTTGAGAAAGGTCTTGAATCGGGTTCATACTGAGCTGTACAAGACTGATAGTATGTACCTATTTTTGCCTTTGCCTGACAAATTCCTAAATCTTCTTAAAAGTTTTCCACATTATCCAAATCTAACAAGCCCTTGCAGAACTTGACTCCCCAGGCCGAAAGGCCTCTTGGTCAACAAAAATTCAAGAAGCGTTAAGTTACAATCTTGAATCATGGAGAACAGGACTCCCAGACAACATGAGATGGGAAGAATCCGACTCACCCTCCGACAACATCATCATCGCCCGCATGCGCGCCAAATACTATGGAGCCCGCTACATCATTCATCGCCCGTTACTCCACCACGCCTTGCACCCATCCAACTTCTCTTCAGATGCAGTAGTTAACACTGCCGTGGCATTCCAAAATCCCTCAAATATGTCTAATTCTCATTCGCGAATCTCGCCGCCATCGATCATGGTCAACCCGGGGCAACTTTCGACAAATAATCCGGCGGAAATGTATGCGAACGATATGGGTCCACCCAATAGACCGGTGACACTGAAACCTAATCAGCCACAGCCGGTGCAGCACCCGCCTCGCCAGGTGTCGATTAACTCACTTGATCCAAAAATCCGCAAGGCGTGTCAGGCGTGTATTGATGCAGCGATTCAGAGTACCGTTGCTTTTGATGGGGTTAAAGGGAGGCCGGTTGTCACTAATATATTTGGAACAGCGCATGCGTAAGTTTGTTTATTAACCGGCCTTCTTGAATTGATTTATTCTTAATTCTGATTACGTTAAAATGAAAACAGGCAATTTGGAAACATGCTAGTTCTATCAGCAACGTACATGTCGCCGCTATCGCAACTCGTAGATCGAGATACTCTGAAAAGGCTTCTGGATCGCACGATCAAATTCCTATCACAAAGCCGGCATATCTCACCCAGTCTGAAAAGGGATGCTGATATCTTGACGTTGATTCGTCTGAAGATATTTGAGAGTCCATCCTCTGGGGGGGTATAATGGGACGTGATTGTGTGGTGCCGTTGACAACAATCTCTTTCTCTCTCTTCATCTTACTTGTATTTGTGTTTTCTCTTTTCATATTTATTATACATACTTTTTATTTTTCATATATAATCAGTATCTAGTTTATATCCTTCTTTTTCCCCGTTTTTTGTGCCATCAGTTTACTTTGGCTTGGGCGGCAAGTTTGTGATTGTAGTTTCTTATCGGGGGGTTTTGGTATGGGTGGTGTTCATGTTTTATTAGCAATTTTCTTTTTGCTTTTCGAACCGCTTCCGAATGTTCAAAAAGAAAGTTTTGGAGGAAAGCGATGTATATGGTACTTTTTGGGTAGCTTTGTTTTCTATTTCTTCCTTTTGACTGGATACCCATGTTTCATACCTTTCTTCTGGTTTCATTTTATCTCAATGGTGATTTATTTACTAGGTTCGAGCGAAAAATCGAACCCCCGCCGTTAAACAGGTTAGGATGGCAAAGACACGGCTTTCATTTCAGGGTTGATTTTATGCTTAGCCCCTTCTTGATCAGATCTTCCCAGGCTTTACTCGTTTTGGTATCATTAATATCTTCATTTCCAATCTTTATTTTCCATTCTCTGCCGTCATATCCCTCCTTGATTACAGGAGGCTATTGTGATTATATTGTCTTTTATTTGGAATATGTTGATTTGATATTTGATGCTTTGGTTCCCGGATATTGGCTTCACGCGATCCAGGGGATGATAGATATGATCTCTTCTTGGGAGTGTTTTATGCACAAGGCCGTTATTTGAGATTGAGGTGTCCGCGAGAGCGGGAAGCAGTTGATCTATGAATGGATGTACGTATTGGTTTAGAGTTTTGGAGGGAATGTGTTAGCCTTGGGGTTAGCCGAGGCAACTAGCAGTAAAGTGTGGGGATCCTGGAGAGCTGAGATAGCAGGGACATATCATGCCTTTTCCATCGGGAGCTTGGGACTTCACTTCATTGTATGGATGTACTCCATATTCAATCACACAATTGTGTAGTTTTGAGTATTACGACGGGTCTAGATTCCTTCTGGACTCGTTTAGTGGTTGCCGTTTGATTTTGACGGTTTCCCACTGGCCTGCACTGTTACTGGCATGCATTTAGGTCATGGAGGTGGTTGGGGAATTACAGAATTACGAGCATAAACCGCTTCTATTATGAGGCTTGCCAAAGAGTTCTCCCTCTTCACACCAAGCTCCTGTTAGCTCAACAAGCCTCTAGCACATTGTTCTTCACTAGAATTAAGATGCACATGCCTGGAACTTCTCAGCAACCGTTCCTCAGACATGATTGCTGTGCTAGAGAAGAATTACAGCGGTGAAGCGCTCTTGGAAATTAGGCCGCATTCTGTTCGCTTTCCTGTTTAGTCTCGTGCTCATCTCCATTATATCTCTGGTAAAGCAGTGGTGCCTTTACCACTTTGGACAAATTTGCAAGTTATCAATCGCTTTAAAATGCCATCTCGCTGTTGGGCATCTCGTGAAGGTATCAATAAGCCACCACCAGATATCCTGAGAAAGTTCAATTTATCACTGACAACCGCACTTCCATAATAAATAGGATTTACCGCTGATGTAGTAGGAGAACTCATCAAACAAAACTGCTCTAGCACCTGCTCTCACTCTCCCCTCCTACCTTCTCTCCCAGTACATCACTAAGGTCCAAGTGTTCTCTTCCCACCGCCCACAAGCGTTCAAAATCCTCAAATATCTTGTTGCTATCGGGGTCATCCGCTCCCTCAATGGCTTGATCAACCTCTATTCCCTCAACCACGGCACATCCGACACGTACAACTGGAACCAAGAAATCGCCATCGTGACAAGCGGTAGCGACGGCATAGGGCGGCGGGTTGCCATCCTGCTTGCCGCACGGGGCGTCAAAGTGGCTGTGCTGGACATCCAGCCGCTTAAATACTAGCCGCCAGCCAGCGTGCGTTATTTCTCCTGCAACATTGCCTCTGTCGAGGCGGTTGCTGCGGCTGCCGCGAAGGTGCGCGCGGTGTTTGGCGAGCCGACGATTCTCATTAATAATGCCGGCATCGCTTCGGGAAAGACTATATTAGATTGCACAAAGGCGAGTATACGGCAGCTATTTGATGTCATTACGCTCTCGCACTAAGTTACTGGCTGGCACGGGAGTTCTTGCCTAAGATGATTGAGCAGAATCACGGGATGGTTGTCACTGTGGCATCACAAGCGGGATGTGTTGTCAGTGCAAACATGGTTGATTATTCAGCGACGAAGGGCGCTGCAGTGACGTTTCATGAAGGATTGAACGACGGAGTTGGTGACGAGCTATCAGGCGCCTAAAGTGCGGACGGTGCTTGTTACGCAGGGATTTGTGAGGTCGTATCTGTCCAGGGATTTGAATGTGGATAATACGTTTTTCAATCCACTGTTGGAGACGGAGACAGTGGCGGAGATGTTGGTGCACTAGGTGTTGACGGGGAAGAGTGGGCATGTCGTAGTACCCGGATCGACGGGTTTTTTTGCGAGAAATTTGAGAGTTTTCCCGTATTGGTTTCAGAATCGGTTGAGAGATAATGTGAGAAATTAATGAGGCCTCCAAGCATAAGATAAGGAATGCGATTGTGGATGAATGTGAGGAATGCAGTGCATGGCGCTCTTTTAATTTCAAATATTATTATTATATTATTATTTTGTTGGCTCTTCATTTTCTTCTTTTGTATGTTAGTTCTAGGGGATGGATGTTTTGACGGTCAATTTGTAGAAATATTTATTCATGGGCCTCGTTTCTTTCCCTCGTTTTTTGTTGTCCATAATGTTAGGTCGATAGGATGTAATGGAGTAAGTTAACTATATATATCAGGGCGCATGTTAGAAATAATTACACTCTTCATAAAAACCTGGAGGATAACTAAGGGACCAAAGAGGATATCCAACGACGTTTATATATTCCTATTTTTTTTATTCCATATGTTACCTTATCTCCACCCATAGGTTACAAGTATTCATAGATGAATTAATATGCAGCAAATATGCAGCAACTAGCCATACATAAAATAATACTGCCTCACCCGGGAAGAAGGCTGTCTGCGGTGTGTCAGCTGAGAAAAGAGCCGCCAGCCAAGAACAGCTCAACTAATATCTCGAGGTTCAAACTGTCGATTTCAAAACATCACTTCACCAACATCCCCTTCATCATCGTCGTGTGTCGGTATATCTCTCATTCATATATTTACCTAACAGTTATTAATAATAATACAGGAAATTTCCGGTTTGATGAATCTCTCAACCCGGTCCTTTTTGTTTTCTTCTACCGTGGTTAGCTCTCCTCCAGATCTTGGGTTTACCAGCCACCAGCCGAATCGTTAACTGTCAAACAGCTAACCAACAACCAACAAACCTAGTTAACCGCCCTAGATTCTTCAGCAAAGTAAACAAAACAAACAACGAATTCTACGATTCTATTCACCCTTTTCAACTACCGTACCCATCTACCATATCTACCATACCTAAAAAGCATTCAGTCAACGTTCATCGCCTGTAACCCCTTCTACTATAACGCTCATGTTGATATGATATCTGTTACTACCTTCTCATAATGCTGTTCAACCTGCTCGGAAAGGCAAACAAACGGCCTGCTTCCTCCAGCTCGTCCAAGTCCCGCCGTCGCAAAGATGAGCACGGCCACCGCTCCTCAACTTCAGGCACGGGGCGCAAGTCTACTCCCTCTACTTCCCGAGGTGACGATCGTGGAATAGCAGATGATGACTACGTCCCTGCTTCCTCAAATTACTCCTCTAGCAGACATGACCGCGATGATGCGGGTAGGTCGACTGTTTCTAGCTATGCGACGGCAGACTCAAAAGCGAGGTTCGAGGAGGATTATAATCGGTCAATGCCGGGTTCGCGCAGGGCGGAGAGGACCGCAAATTGGCATGATGAAATTGATTCCCGCAATGACGAGAGGGGTCTTGATGACCGTAGGATTCGGTATGAGCGCTCAAGGAGTGGCGATCGAGATGAGAAGAGGCATCAGCTGGAGAAGGAGCGGGAAAGAGAAGAGAAGCCACGCCGTCGAGCTAAGTCTCAGGTAATTATTAACAATCCCACTGAATACTCTCGTAGTCGGGCTGGGCCAATGTCATCCGGAGATCAAGGATTTATGGGGCAGCCTGGATTCTCGCAGTTTCCTATGCAATACGACAATACTTCCCTGGGCGCAATGCCAGAACCTGGACCCTCACCAGATTCTCACCGAATACCTGTTTCACACCCTTCTCAATTACCCCATCAACAAATCTCTCTTTGTCCTTCTCCGTCTCCAGGCCAAGCGGCGGACTATTATGGAGATCAGGGGCAATCAGTAGCATCACAGCCTGGTGTTAGGCCCAACCCCCCTTCACTTATTGTGGGAGCGGAGCCGCATTTGATGGCTGCTTCATCAACACCAAATCCCCCAACTGAACCATCTTCGATGGGACAAACGGGCCAAGCAGCAGACTATTACGGTGGTGCTTCAACAATTGATCAACAACATAACGACGGTCACGGAGAATCAGTCCACTATTTACAAGAGCTGTCGCCCAAACCCTCCAAGCCTTCAAAGCCCTCAATTCCTGCTGCGGCAGCAGTGGCAGGAGTAGCAACTTATGGTATTGGGTCGATGCTGGGAGGCTCCAATGAACACACTGCAATGACTTCATCGTCATGTCCCTATCATCACCCACCACCTCCGCATCAGCCTCAGCAGCCATATTATCCTCCAACAAATGGTTCACGCCCCCCAAAACCAAACAAGCACAATTTTATGCCTGCAGAGGGTGCTGCCACGACAGGAGCTGTTTCAGGATACGCCGCTGCGACAAGCCACACACCAACTTTCCCGCGGCCCAACAGTTTCTCTGGTGTCGCACACCATCACCAAGGCCAATCTGTCCAACTAGGACCGTCAGGTCAACCAGGCTCGCTGGCTTACCATCAACGCCATTACGGCCCATTCAGACGGTTTGTCAATTTCTGGAAGGATCCAGAGGCTGTCGCCCAGTTCGAAGAATATTCAGAATATATCGGTGTTTGCAAGTTCTGTTTTGAACCAGGTACTTCTCCAAGGGATGCACCTCGGAAGCATGTACCCAGACGTCGTCGATATTCCGATGAGCACCGGGATAGTCATGTTAGAGTGGACAAGCTGAGTCGATACCCATCCTCATCTGGAGACGAGAGCCGAGGCAAGAAATCTAACCGAAAATCTTGGTTTGCCGCTGGTCTTGCTGGTTACGTTGCAAAATCTCTCCTTGAAGGAAAGGATGGATATGATGGTTCATACAGTGCTCGTTCCGGACAGCCTGCTAGTGATACTACAAGCACCAGTACCACGTCTTTAAGGAAGAAGAGCCGTACGTCTAGGGGAACTACGAAACACTTAAATCGAACTGGTTCCCCGGTGGGAATTGTTAGTCATGAATACGGAAGAGATGATAAAAGCCGTTATAGTGGTTCGGGTGGAAAATATTCGAATGGAGACGATAGTCGACGCCGATCACGGTCGCGTTCCCGCTCCCGCTCCCGATCAAAATCTCGAGAGAGGGGCTCTTCCGGCTTGAAAACAGCAACCGTGGCTGCTGGGGCTCTTGGAGCCGCATCTGTATTAACATCCGGGTCGCGTAGAAGCCGTGGCAGGTCTCCAAAAAAATTGAGCCGCAGTCGATATTTGTCGTCGAACGGATCCACCATTGATATTTCTCGCAGCTATGGAAAACCAGGCCTCTCGGGGTTGGCATCCTTCTTCACCGCACCATCTGAGAAGCGGCCAAAAACTCCAAAGGTACACATTGTTAAGGAGAAGGTGAAGAAGAAGAAAAAGGCGAGAAAAGGAATTTTTAACTTTTCTTCCTCTCTTTCCGCAGGGTCGTCTGCGTCTTCATTTACGTCTTCATCCGATGATGCTGACATGGCTTTTGGGACTGGGTTTATCGGAGCTCCACATTCGGAGAAAGAGAAATCCCGACCGGAACGCAATGATAAAGTTGATGCAGCTCTACTAGGACTAGGAGCCACCGCTGTTCGCCTGGCAGCTTCTGCTTCCTATATCAACTACGGCAAGGGTAGGCAAGATGGTTCTTCCAGCCACAGTTCTCCAGGCCCATATTCGATCTACAGACATGATTCCCGGCCTCCTGTCATCTCGGGTCCGGCTGAGGAGGATGGCTGGGTATCTGCATCTGATGATTCTTCCCAATCAAGTGTAGATTCCGCATTGGCTTACGGTGGCCCGTCGACATCTTTCTCCTCCTCCTCGGACTCAGGCACTTCTAAATGGGGCTGGAGGTGGGGTAGTAAGAAAAAGAGCTTAAAGTCTACGAAGTATCGAGACCATCGGTACCCTGACACGCGACAGCATGCTCAGCCGCTTCCTGTAGCCGGATATTCATTCCCACCACAACCACCCAGCACTGTGGGGAGCCTCCTGTCTATGCAGAATGTCTATCCAATACCAACGCAGGATCCATCCCAGTATGATGTCACGAACAAAAGTTCTTATTCTTCTTCTCAACCCTACGTCCAACCGCAAGCTCCTCCGCTAATTAGCCAAGCATCCGGACCCGCGCACATTCAACATCCTCAGCCAATAGTACCTGTCTCTCAGGCTCTATATACAACACAAGCAGAACTAGCGCAATCCCACGATGCTCCAAGAGGTCCACCATTTCTCCCAAGATCCTCAGGCGAGTCTGATAATCGCTGTGTCACCGAGTCGCAATCTGGGGTTAGATACGGGATCGCTCCATTAGTGGATAAAGCAGAGAGGAGTAGGTACTATCGTGACAGTAACAAGCGTTCTAATTCTTCTCCCAATGCGAGGGAGAGTGAGCTGCGGCGAAGAGACTCATCGCCTGTGATTTCCCACACTCGTGATGAAAGTCCTAGACCAAAGCAGCACAGGCGCTACACTACCTCGCAAGTCCAGTTCGATCTTACGGAGGAGCAGGAGGACAAAGAGCGTCGGCAGTTGCGTGAGGAGGAGGAGCGGGAGACGAGGCGAAGGGAAGGGGAGTTTCGTTTACATGTGGAGGAGGAAAGGAGGGAGAGGAAGAAGGAGAAGGATGGTCGATGTGCTGACTGGGAGTGTGAAACTGAGCGCCAGTATGAGCCTCTGGATAGGAAGTCTTTTGACATAGATACTAGTGGTGAGCGTGGGGATGTGTCTACGGGGTCTTCCTGGATGACTCCTGTTGCAACTGCTGCAGGCACAGCTTCCATTGCGTCCTTGATCAGTGAATTGGAGGAAAGGAAGCGACGAGAGGAACGGCGCGAGCAGAGGAGAAAGGAGAGACGAGGGTATATCGACGAGAGGGAGCCGGAGGCTGAGGAACGGGAAGAAGAAAAGCGAGACCATGATTCATCTGCTGGACCAACAGGTAAGGATAAAGTTACTGAGACCGAATTGGAATTTAACATTAAAGATATTCCCGCAACGAAAATCCGCCTTGCGAGAAAGGCTGCTGGTCGCGTTGCAGCGTCACCTGTTCATCATGATAACTATGCAGACTATTTCATTCCCCCAGAGGTACTTTCGGGTGGAGATGAGACTTCTATCCACTCCCACTCCCACTCAGATGCGGGATCACCGGGCTCTTCAAGTCCTAATATCATTCTCATTGAGCCGAGGAGCGTTAGACTCGAGAGAGAAATGGCTGCGATGTTGGCGGAGGAGGTATGGCCGCTGGGAGTTCTCCCATGGCCCGTTCCACGTCTTAACTTGATACATCCTACTCCACCACGTAGTACTGAAGGGTCTGTGATTGGAGAGGAACACCCACCCCCACCGCCTGTCCCGCCGAAGGTGACTGTTGATGTGAAACGGGACATATCGCCATCGCGAAAGAGTGATTCTGTCATTGATATTGATGAGAGCGGTCGTGTCCGTGAAGTGAAAGGTGAAGTTGAAATTGCGGAGACGAAGTCTGAGCAGAAGCCTGAGTCGGAGCCGACGCCGGTCATGGAATCGCATAAGGCAGAAGAACCTTTGGGTAAAGTTGCCCACCCGCTCGAAGAAGAGTCAAGAACATCACAACCTGTCATTGCTGAGGTTGAAGATGCCGACGTTGATGAAGAGATACCACGTCACGAACATATTCCTTGTGGATTTGGAAATGACTTTGAATTCGCTGCCACGCTGGCTGCTGGAGCTACCCTCGCTGGGTTCAATTCTGCTGTTGTCACTGAAGATCCTACGTATCATCAACGTGACTCACCGCCTGGTTCTGAGGGGGAGGGTGTCTTTACCTCGCCGGTTGCGGAGGCTATTTTTCGAGGTCGCGGAAGTCCCCCTGGTGTCCAGTATACGTTGAGGACGTATGGGTATGTCGAAGACGAGGAGCTGGGGCCTTCTTATGGGGAATTCGCTCAGGAGTCTGTTAGAGATAGTTCCCACTCAAGAGCAGAGAATTTTGGTGTTGATGTGCGTGAATCTATTAAGTCAGCTAACGACGCGGGTATTCATGGTTTGAATCCAACAGCTGAAGATGATAAGGCTGAAAAAAATGTAGAAAAAATGGTGAAGTTGTTGGAAAAGGAAAAGCGGGAAAAAAGCATAGTGGCTAAGCGGGAGAGTCAGAACCGAGAAGAAACATGGGAATCAATCTCAGAACCTGCACCGCCCAAGAAAGAACAGGAACCTGAGAAGCGAGAAATCCTCACTGGGAAAGTTCAAGGGCTTGCGGAAAGTCCTGTGGTTGATAAACCTGTGTGGCCTGCAGATGCTTTGATAGATGACCATGGGTTCTATGATGCCGAGGAGGGATCACCGCGCCAGTTCGAATACGATGCCAACAGTAAAGAAGAGGACAGCGAGGCTGTTCCTGCTACGGCTGATGAGGATCAGGAGAGATCTTCAAAGAAGGATGACCAAACCATCGAACCTCGCAAGCTCACCATTGCTTCTACCCCTTTTGGCCCCCAGGAGGAGGAGTTTGACTCTCAAGAAACGGAAAACCCATTGAGAACTGATAAAAATGATTATACCGCAGACGAGCGACCCTCAATACCAGGAAACTTCTTTGAAGAGCCTAAGCTATCCAAAAAGACGAAGAAAAAGGCAAAGAAAGCCGCTAGGGATGCGTTGATGTACAATAACAATTATTTTGAACCCGACGCTAAATCAGAATCTCCACCCACCGGTGTAGATCTCGACCCTGAACTCGAATTCGAGACTGCTAATGTCAGCAGTAAGAAATTGAAGCGGAACTCGAAGGGCAAGAGTAAACAGTTCGATTTAGATGAAGGTGACAAACCCGCTTCTAGTATAGATGATAATTTCTCCACCTTTCCCACGCGTGCTATCGAAGAAAATGGCAAAAATGATAATGATGGGGATGACAACGGTACCGAATCAGTTGCTGCATCGGTTAGCGTAGACGCCGATGAAGACGCCGAGTCTATGAAAACTTCTAAATCCAAGTTGTCAAAGTCATCATCGAAATCAAAGCGTCGATCGGAGCGACATAGTGAGCCTTTCAATGAAAATGATCCTGCGTCTGCATCTGTTGTGTCCTCCCCTGCTAAACTGGTCGATGACTCAAAGCCAGAACGGAGGAAGGGAATGGATGGCAGTAAAAGGAGCAGCAGTAGTGGTGGCAGTTTCTTTGGTTTCTTTGGGGCTTCTAAGTCTCGGGATTCTCTAGCTGAAGAGGAGTTGAGGGCATCGGCGAGGGATGAACGGTCTGAGACTGGGGTTGGGGATTTGGAGGAGGCAAGTGTTTCATCTAGTAAGAGGCGGAGAAAGAAGAGATCGTCGAAGGGGCGGCTTGAATGTGATGAGCTTGAGGGTGATGATGACGATATAGGAGTTGGTGGGAGTCATGTAGATGGCGTGGAGAAGAATATTTTGGATTCTGCGCATATTGATAACATTGGTGAAGTAGGGGAGATGGAATCGCCGTACCAACGTAGGCGGAAGGATCGAAGACATCGATATGAGGAGATTGTTGAGTCCGGGATGAGCGTAGATGGGCAAAGGAATGTATGTTAATTTGCTGTCTTTCCTTTTTGTGTATGATCTTTGATTCTTGCTTCCTGTTGGATATTGTGGAATTTTATTTCTGAAACCATATACTTATATATATATGCTGATACCCGCCATTTCTTGTTATTATAGGACTCTCACTCTATAAGATCTAACGGACATGATCATGAGGACGGTGATGCTAATAAGGATTACACGGAAGATCAGTCTTTTTTAGGCACGCGCCCCGAAATGCCATTTACTCATGATGGTGCTTCGGGGCTGCTCGATTCCACCCTTCAAAAACAAATAGGAGGGGATGAGTCTAGGAATCCTTCTCCTGTCACTACCCCGCGTTCTCATATGCCGAGCCGATCTTCGTCTCCCATGCACGGCGAGAGGCATTTCAGCTTACCATCTCAGTCGCGGAGTTGCCCTGTATCCTCATCACCTTCTTCTGCAAATAAAAAGACTCTGAGTATACAAGTGGACCCACGATCGACTTCCCATATTATGGCTTCGCCGACCGCTGTGCCTATACATTTCAGGCGCCCGAAGCCATCTTCCGGTGTTCAGAAATCTGCAGCTTCAGCTAGCCCCGGCACAGTAGCTGACTTGGCGGACTCTCCGACTTCAAAACTTGGCGGCGGTAGCAAACGACCCAGGTCAACTGAATTCAAAACTTCCAGGGAGTTCAGGCCTTTGTGGTTAGTGGAGCAGCACGGCTTGCGAAAGTTGGATAGAGGCCCAGATGAGCCATACCCTGCACTTCCTTCGAGTAAAACAACTTCGCGGACGTCCTCTGTAGAGGTTTTGAAAGGCTCTGGTCTTGAACAAGGGTTTATGCCGGATGTCCCGTCGTATGAAACAATGCCATTTGTCGAACGATCACAACGAAGAAGGCCTCTCTCGTTACAACTAGACAACGACAATGCTCTACATGATGCTTATGTGCTAGAATCTCAGTTGGCGACCCCCACTGCAGCGAGTATCTGTTCAGCAGCCCATAAAAAAGAGAAGCCGAAGCCTGAGTTCCACTCCCCGTCGGAGCTTCTTCTCGATCCATTTTTGAGTCAAACACAATTTCCAGCTTCCCCGACACAAAACCTGTTACCTCCTGAAATAACTGCTGCAGGTGAAGCGGTTGTTGCAGCTGCGGATTCGGACTTGGATTTGGAAAATTTACTATCACTACAGCGCTCGTTGACGGCATCTCCTCAGTTGGGTGAGACCCTGCCTTCGTTGCCAGAGAGTCGTCCCTCTACGTCTCATTCAGAAATTGGATATAAATTGCTCACGGGATATGCTGATATGGATGATTCATTTCCTCCATTACCGGAGAGTCGTCCATCCACTTCTCATACCCAGGTTGGATCTCAGTTAACTGAAGGACTAAACGCAGGTGTGGTTATTGGTCTTGGTGCTGGTGTGGCTGCAAATCTTGCCAGTCCATCGTCGAGTAAAACTAGAGGTCTAAAAGGGGATATAGTAGCTGAAGGCCCGCATCATGCTACCGGTAATATTGAAGCGATGATTGCAACACGAAAGATAAGTATTCAGCCGACCAGGGAGGTGGAACCAACATCAACATCTGAAATTGCAAGAGAACGCCCGCTTGAAGTAACCGATCTGGCTGATCTAGATCAAGGAAATAGGAATCAGCCTGTGGATTCTTCAGCTGTGGAATATCTATCTTCTTCACCTAGTGAAACCATCGTTGAATTATCAGAAGGTTCTGTTCCCAGAACTCTAGCTGCTGAGGAAGAGCATCAACTACAGTTAGAAGCATCAACAGCATCAGTTGCTGGTGTCCCAATAACCGCTGTAGTACAATCTGAACCATTTCCCCGGCCTGCAGACTCTAATTTACCAGACGAGTCCGTTCCTCCAAAGCCATCGAAGACTAGAGGAGATGATATCCAACTGACGTCCTTGAAGAATTCAAAAATGGCGAAGAAAAATATGATGGATGCTTTCGAGAACACAGAAATATTGCATTCAGGAGAAAATATATCTACAGTCAAACATCAATCTGTTTCTTCGGCAATTGAAGATGACAAATGTGACGCTTCACTGACGTCTGAGATCAAACCGTCACAGGAAAGCCAGGACCTAGTAGCCGTTGAAAGTTCACTCAGGACCGACCTTTTGGAACCACTGGAGCCACAACCAACGGGAGGACTTCTTATCCCCGAGGAATTATCAGGTCAAGTCCCAGCTAATTCTACAAACTCCGAGTTGGAATTCTCCAATCCGAAAAAGAAGGGTAGAAAAGGAAAAGGTAAACAAAGGAAGAAGGCGAGCAAGGTTGTTTCTCAAGAGACCGAGGTTGAAACTCTCACCGAACCGAACCAACTTCCTTGTGAAGAAGAGCCGTCAAGCGATAGCTTACCTCGCCTATCGGACAAGGCTGGAGATCCAACTGAGGAAAAATTTATGGAGTTTAACGCGGCGAACATCCATCTACCAAATGGCAATGATGAAGAGCTTGCAGAACCAGCAGAAGGCGAATTCATCCCCGACCTAAAACAATATGGTGAAACTGAAACGATGGAGCATGTTTCTCCTCTAGAGATGGAAGTCTATGTATCAACTTTTCAATCAGCCAAGGATCCTGAACCTGCCCACATACCCCTACCAGAGAACGTTACAGAGCTCGAAGATCTAACCGAGAATGAGTATATCTCGGATCCGAGTAAACCTGAGCATAAAGAAAAGCTGGAGCATGTTTCTCGTCTTCCCGGGGAAAAAGTTCAGGATCCAACTCCGCTGCCAACTAGAAAACTGGACCTTACCGGACTGCCTCTGCAGGCCAATGATTCAGAGAACGAGATATCAGTAATTACAGAACCAAACCGGTCCGACCTAAAAGAAAAGCTGGAGGTTGTAATTTCACCCCCTAAGAGAAAGGTTGAGGGACCAACTTTTCAACCACCTGAAGAAATTGACTCTGCAACTATACCTCTACAAGAAGACAAGAAAGAAATTTACGGATTTTTGGAGGCGGCAGAATATCCTTTCGGTCAACCACCTCCTGTTGCAGTCGAGATATCCCAACCAGCTGATATCGTCTCAGAGGACTATGAAGATAATTCCTTGTTGCCGAAATCGCTTAAGTCTCTCGCCTCTGAGTTACCTCTGGAGGGTGAAGTGCCTCACATTGAATTTTCCGTTGACAATACCGAAAGATATACATGGCAGCCAAATAAGAAAAAGGGAAAGAAAGGAAAGAAGGGCCGCAAATCTACTGTGGGGGAGACTGCAACTGGCGATTTTAGGGCTTCAGAAGCGGAAGCGAGCAAAGAAGCTAAGTCGGAACAACCTGCATGTACCGTCGATTCTTCCGTTCATGACATAAAGGAGCTTGAGTCATTACCACAGTTTCCAGAGGGAGTTGACACTGGGCCTCCGTTGGAGAAGGCAACAAATAAGAGTGCAGAGATGAGTGCAACCAATTACGTCTCACCACATCCGATAGGCGAAGTCGATATCCAAATTGACACGTCTACAAAGGCTTTTAAAAATCAAAAAAGAAAGGGTAAGGAGAAACAGAAGTTATTGGAAGCCCCAGAGGGTCCACCAATTCAGTCAGGTTCTTCAAATGACATTCCATTAGTCGACATTGTTACGGAGCAAAGGACTGAGTATGTGCCCAAACCTGAGAAATTAACGCCGGAGAAAGACATCGTTATGGGGGAAGCTACACCAGCGGGTTTACCCAATGACGTTAACAAGGACAGGCAACCAGTGGATGATGTGCATCCATCGTCTCATCTGAAGGATGTAGAAGATCCAATTATAAACACAAGAGCGTATCCATTGGCTGAAAATTACCTCACCTCCCAGAATACTGAACAAGATATTGGTCGAGACTCTCCCGCAGATACCGCTATTGCGGGGAACGCCCTTGAACCTTCCCACTGCGACGAAGAGCTTGTTTCTAAGGAACTTGAGAGCGATAAGTTGTTCCAACATCATACACCTGCAATTGACATTCAAAAATCAAAGAAAGGGAAGAAGAGTAGAAGGAAGCGCCAATCAGTAATTTTGGGTGATGAGGCCTCTGGAGTCGAAAGTTTTCAGCCAAAGTCCGCGTCACTCCATGGGAGTGATGCCAATAATCCTCAACTTGAAATAGAGCCACTCCCTTTTACTTCCCTTAGCAATCCTGGAACTGAAGCATCAAAAAGCTCGAAAGAAAAGCGGAAAGCCAAAAAGGACAAGAAGTGGACAACTGATGACCCTTCTACAACTGAAGAACATCAACTGTCTAAGAGACCCGAGCGTGCTGATACTGATTCAACTTCAGAGCCTTTGAGGCATTCAAGGATTGTGGAAATAGAATCTCTGGCGAAACCAACGTCTCATTTACCCGAAGATGGGAAGATTGAAACCTCTATAGCAGAGCTTTCTGAAGCTCAATCAATTTCCATCCGAGATGCCTCAGACATGCCTGCCATCCCCGGTGCATGGGCGGACGACGACGATCAAGTTCTCGACACTTTAGGCATAGGCAACGAAACAGTTTCCCGCAATGCGCCACCTGCCAATGACGACGGTGATGAATTTCAGATTTTCAAAAATAAGAAAAACAAAATGAGCAAGAAAAAATTCAGATTTTCCGATTGGACTGATGAAAGTACGTCTTCGCAGATAGAAATGAAAGATATTTCGGAATCAACAACTCCTGATCCTTTGAGGCAATTGCGTAAACCGTCCCCTGTGTCTAGTGAACTTCCTGAAGCTACTATTCCGAAGTCTGAATCATTCCAAGTTGTTCCTGAATCCGCCACTGAGCAGTCGATTTCCGAAGCAGATATTTCCCAAGAGTCCTTCACACAAGCTGGCCACATTGAATCGTCCAATTGTACGAATACAACATCTGAAATTCCCAGAGACTTTATGCACGAGCCCGTGTCGCCAAAACCTGAAGGTGATTCAGTCAAAGATTCTTCCCTACGACCTTCCGTTATCGGCGGCGACAAATCATTGGATGCTATAACCCAAAGCGAACTGAGGTCCTCTGGAAATGAAAATGGTCTTGTTTCAGTTTCTGAGGAAAGGGGGGAGTTTCGGAGCAAACCTCCCAACCTAGGAGGCCCAGAAACTGGAATTGTTATTCAAGCCGGTGTTGGGGAAGTTAGAGCAGTCGGAGAGACAGCAGAAGACTTGATTGCTCTTACAACCGACGACAGTGTTCCGTCTGACGATCCAGTCTCTAATACTCTGACAATGACTGAAGTACAGGCTCTTTCATTTTCAGTGGAGGAAGTAGCACCACTTTCTCCACAACTATCTCCACAGCCACCGGTACCTGAAGATTCTGATTGTGTGATAGAGAATGCGACCAATAACGACTCAAATTCTGTATTGGAACAAGGAAACATCGTTGTCTCACCGACAAAAGAAATTGACCTGTTGGCAGTTGATGAGCCACTTGTAGCGCTAAAGGTGGAGTCCAAAAAACAACTACAGACGAAAGATGAAGACAGACACATTTTGAGTAATATGGACGCTCAAAATCTCATGGGAGCATATCTTTCCGATGTCATGTTTTCTGAAGATATTCTTCTCTCAGCTTTGCCTGAATCTAGCGATCCCAATGCCACAAAGCCAGATATAGAGCCAGTACCTAATCCTCAACTCAACTCTGAGACCGACAGCTGGAATGTCACGTCAGCAGAAAAAGGGAAGAAAAAGAATAACAAGAAAAGCCGGGATACTTATGAAAATAGAGCTCCCACAACCAATGAACCAAATACTAATCCTTTTACCGACACCGCCACTACATTTGATCCCGGCGAGTTGATCCTTGACTTGACGAACGAAAATATTGATAGAGAGGCTTGTGACTGGGATGTACCGATAACTGAAAAGGATAAGGAGAAAAACGGAAAGTCTCATCTTGAAGAAAGTAGTTTTCCCTCTCAGTCAACTGAAATTCTAGATATTACCGAGAATCCATCATTTGCATCGGTAGATGCAGAATATGAGGAGAGAGATATCCTTTTGAGTCTCACCTCCACTGACGAGGGGAAGAAGAATATCACGATAGACCCCGTTTTACAAGGTAACGTCATTCCTGATAAGCGGCTTGTGGGTGAGCATGTGGCATCTAAAGAAAACGAAATACAATTTAAGCAGCGAAAGGCTGATAGCTTGAACGTCTGGGCCACCAATCTAGAAAATGGAGACAATAAAAATAAGAAAATGGGCTCAGCGTTGGGAAAAGATAAAGTCATCTATGATAACCATTCTAGTGAAGATTTTGTGGACGTTTTGGATGACGCAAAACCATCTGGAGCAACACATTTAAATGCAGAACAGCAGGAGGCTGACGGCTGGAGCACTACAAGCACAAAGGAGGGCAAACCCAAAAATAGAAAGACGCAAGCTGCTCAAGATGACCCTTCTCCTTCAGCTGATCCCGCGCCATCAGCTGTTCCTGAGCCTCAGACCCAGATGGAATTTGACCCTCAGACAGAACTGAGTCACCAGGAATGGAATTCTACGTCGGAGAAACCAGGGAAGAAGAAAATTGGAAACGGTCGAGACGGTCAACCTGAAGGTTCTGTGGTTGCGGAATGCTTACATCTCCTGCCCAAGACAACAGAGCCTGAGTCATCAAAATCTCAAAGTCGTGGCGCGTCGAAAAAGGAAAAGAAAGCCAAAAAGAAGGGAAAGAGAGAACTTTGGGGTAATGGTGATGACAAAGATGATGTAGTGAAAACCATCCAAGTTCCGGATGAACCGTTTAACACTATCAACCCCGGTCCTGCTCTTCCAACCGAGACACAAACCACTGAAGCACAAGCTCTCGCCGGGGTCCACGCTACACAGGCACAAATAATTGTTGTAGAGAGTTTTGAGAAAGATGATTTTCCAATGCCCGAGAAAACTGCCAGAAGCTTGGTATTGGAGCAGAAACTGGAGGTTGCTAATGAAATTAAGGAAACCCAATCTGGTGTTGACAATGAGTCTTTTCTTCCAGCACCGGCTAATCCTGAGTTGAACCCCCATGAGACGAAAGGCGACTATGCAGATGAGAATTATAAGGATAATCTTTGGGAAGGACTATCGAACAAGAAAATATTGAAAAAGGATAAGAAGAATAAGAAGGGTACAAGGCATGCTGTGGACGTCGAAGAGAAGGTTGAAAAGCCAGTGGAGGATGTGAAGGAAGTAGCAGAGCCAAGTCAGGAGGCAGTGCCTGAGAAAAGCAGATCATTGAAAAGATTTCTACCAAAGAAAGAAAAGAAGAAGAAACAACTTCTGAAATTTGATGAAGAGTCAACAACGCAACCGGAACTCCTTCCAATACTTGACGTATCTGCCACAGAAATTTCTCCCGAGAAGGACCTTGGATTCACAGAAGTACCACAAAAACCGGAGCCTACAGAGTCACCAATAAGAAAGGAAGTCTTCGAGGAACCACAAGATGAGGATTACGATTACTGGCCGTCAATTGATTGGCTCCAAGATAAGACTTCGAGTTCTCAACCTAAGATACTGTCGAAGCCAAAGGAACCCGATACATCGTCACTCGATTTGTTACTCTCGGGTGATGAGCCAAACCCAAGAGAGGATCATTTCACACATCAATCGCCACACTCACCCAAACTAGCTGGTAATTCTATTGGCGACTTCGATGAAGATGCCAGTCTTGTTGGTCAGAGTGGAGGCGATAAATCAGCTGCGGATTCGCTTTTGTCGTCATCAGGCAAGCGAATTCCTGAGCATAAGTGTGTTAGCGACCGCCGGCCAGAAAGCGTTCTCAGTGGCGAGCTACCTTCTATTTCACTAGGCGCTGACGTCGGCACTGAAACCCTCCTGGAGGACATTGATGTCGATGGACTCTTGAAAGAAAATCTCAGTGAACGATTGCCTTCTCCGCTTTCAGTTCCACAATCTCTGGATGCGGCTCTAGCCTTGGAAAAAGGCCCGGCAATAGAATCACCTGAAAATATGGAAGGTGCTCATCCATCTATTGGATTTTCAGCGGTGACTATAAGCGATGACTTTTGGGCTGTTGGCGGAAGCAAACAGAAAAAGAGTAAGAAAAGTAAAAGGAAAAAGAAAGCGCTTGAACAAGAGGGCTGGGAAAATTTGAGCCATTCTGGGCCCCTTGCAGACGATCCTGCCGATACCGAGCCTCCTGGTTGCAACACCACCAAAGCGCTATCCGAAATGTTCGTTGAAAGCCCCGCTGCGGCTACACATGTCGAAGCATTAGAACCTCCTATAGCACCTGTAATTACTCGAATGAAGGATGACAATGGCAGTTTTTGTGGGGTAAGTTGTAAGAAAGGAAAGAATGGCAAGGGTCTAAAGAAGAGACGGAAGGACCAGCAGGACGTCCATGTTGATGAAGATCGAGCTCCCCATCAACTCCTGGCGGAGACTCTAGAAACGCACGCTCCAAAGGAGGTCACTTCGTCTAGATCACATTTGGAGGAGCATGGCAAATCACAGCCATCCGGAGTAGTAGCCAGCGTTTTCCCGTTTCTTGAACGGGTATCTAGAAGACACCCCTCTCTAAATGCGGCCCCCAAAGAGACACCCACACAGGAGATACAATCAGCCTCAACAAAAGATCATATCTTTCCGCCACTCTCCGACGCAAAATTTGATGCTGAGGCCGTTTCTAAGTTCGAAGATTCCGTGAAATGCCGACCAAGCCTTGACCCAATCCCAGAGATCCCGGCCGCTGTAGGAGATAACGATCATTCAATAGATGTGAGTTATAAGCATTCAGAGACCGAATTGCCAGTCATCGAACACTCTCTTGAGCGAAGGCCGTCTTTTGTGGATTCAATATCGGAAAGGAGGTCCTCATCTCCATCACTCCTTTCTTCCCCGTTGACGCGAGTTGACGTGGAGCATTCTAGGCCAGTTTCCCATAAACCTGCTGGAGGCGAACTTTCCCAATCCCCCACCGTTTACCAGGACTCTAAAAGTCTTCTGAGTGGGTCGTCTGTTATTCTGCCGGCTATCAGCCCTAGGCGACAGATACAGACAGGAGCTAGTCCCAAAATTCCTCCTCTAGAACAACCTCACTCAATATTTGGAGGCCCTTTTGGACTTGGGGGCGACCATGATGTGATGGTATCTCCTCCACGGACCCCACTTGCGACGATAAAAGAACATGTTCCAACAGACTCTCCGCGCAATGCGCGTAACCGCGAGCTTTCTGACGTTGGATCGCGTGACAGAGGAGTGAAAGCTGCCCGGCATACAGAAAACACACACCTTGCATTTGGGCCAAAGCATGTGTTAACACCACCTAAATTCAATCATGCTTCAACACCATCACATTCGAGCAGCGATGCGGCGGCAGATAGAGGTTTAGCGTCCCAGCTAGACATGTTGGATATCCCGAAAAAGCGGCGTGTTGATCGGTTCCCCACCAGCCAAAGGCGGTCTCCAGGTAACCCGCATTCCCACGAGTGGACAACATCATCCGAACATAGGGAACCCTCACAATCTCTCAGCGTTGGTAGCACAGTCTCTTCGGGAGGTTCTCCAGTTCCAGGGCTGCGTCGGGCAGCAAGCAAAAACGACAAAATCACCAGATCCATGTCACGTGACTCAAACCGCGACGTGGAGGGCATTGCTTCGTCAAGTCATTACGACCCAGTCATTGACAAAGGAAAGCGACCGGTGCGTGGCATGGCGGATGTCTACGTAGGTCATTCTCTTTGTTCTTCGTTTTTGTCTTTTCTTCTTCCATATCTATTAGTATCTCTCTCACAGATAAACTAATGATGGATGCCGAATCACAGGAAGGTTGGGGTGACGTGCCAGGCAGTTCCCCGCGTTCGCCAACCCGCCCACCGAGCATGCGGAGACGACGCAGCTTGCAACATCTCCAGGACCTCGAAACCCGCGTCGACCATCTCGTATCTGAAAATCGCCTACTTTCCACAGCAAAAGCCAATGCAGAGAAATCCCTCGAATCCCAGACCATCGCCCAGAGACAGGCGGAGCGAGCACTACAAACACGTGACCAGGATATCTGCAGCAAGGATTTGGAGATACTACAGCTGAAGAACACTTTGGAGTGGTTCAAGAAGGAAATTGCGCGCTTAATAGAGACAAATGATGTGCTTACAGCAACTAACACTGGGCTGGTGGCCTCTCATGCGTCCGAAATGAGGCAGCACGCTGAATCCAAGCAACATCTATTCGAGTCACAACAAAGTTTAAGGGAACTTCAGGATGAACACTCTCAGCTGTCTGCCGGCCTGGAAGGGATTGTACAGAATGAGATAAATAACATCTTGGCGGAGAAGAATGCTGAACTTGAACACTTGCGTGCTGAACTAGCCAACGCGCGGGACAAGGTCAAGGAACTTCAAATACAGATCATGGAGACCATGGCTGACGATGTGCTCGTTTTTCGGGATGAAGATTACTTCGATGCACAATGTCAAAAGCTTTGCCAACATGTACAACAGTGGGTGTTGCGGTTCTCCAAGTTCTCGGACATGCGGCTGTGTCGACTTACCAGCGCACTCCGCGACGAGAAAGTCGCAGCGCGGTTCGCAAATGCCATCCTTGATGGCTCAGATGTCGATACATATCTTTCCGATCGTGTTCGACGAAGAGACGTGTTTATGTCAGTGGTGATGACGCTGGTTTGGGAATACATCTTCACTCGATATCTCTTTGGCATGGATCGGGAACAAAGACAGAAATTAAAGACCTTGGAAAAGCAGCTGAGTGAGGTAGGACCACCAAGTGCCGTCCAGCAATGGAGAGCTACGACGCTCGCACTTCTTTCTAAGCGACAAGCGTTTCATGAACAGCGTTCCAGTGACACCGAAGCAGTGGTGCAGGAAATCTATTATACTCTTTCCAAGCTGCTACCCCCTCCGCGCGACTTAGAAAGTACAATACTGGAGTCCTTGCGGAACGTCATGCGAGCAGCGGTGGATCTTTCTATCGAAATGCGCACGCAACGGGCTGAGTACATCATGCTGCCACCTTTACAACCAGAACACAATGCCAATGGCGAACTAGCCCGCAAGGTACACTTCAAGGCCGCTCTAATGAATGAGCGAAGCGGCGAGACAACGTCGAACGAAGAGCTCGAGGCACAAGAAGCGGTTGTGAGGATAGTGCTGTTCCCGCTCGTGGTCAAGAAGTGCAGTGACGAAGGGGACGGCGATGAAGAGATTGTGGTGTGTCCGGCGCAAGTGCTTGTTGCGCGACCGGGGAAGGATAGGAAGGTCGTGAGGGTGCTTAGTGGGGACCGGATGTCTATTGACCAGACAAACCAGTCGATACAGAGCCTTCCGTCCATCAGCATAGATCCGGGCAACGTGATATGAGGCGTCACACTCCATAGCGTCGTATGTACATTACCTGTACGTTGGACTGAAGATGGATGAGGAGTTCAACCTTCTGGTTTGATGACTATTTTTCTGTTCTTTTCTTCTTTTTCTTTCATTTCCTTTCTTTTTTACATATTTCTGGATTTTACCGCTACAGATACTGGGGACTCCAATAGAGAAGGAACGGATATCCAATGTTTTTAATGGCTTTATTTCCTGCGTGCGTTCTATATGTGTCTTATTTTTTTTCGGGATTATCCTCTTTTCTTACATTTTGCGACTTTATGTACAGAGCATCAATGATTTATGACGATGAGAGATGTTGACCAATGTTGATGTTTTGTTCTGTTTTCTTGTTTTGCATGTATTAATCTACATATATTTTAGAGATGTAGTTTCTTGGTTTCTTTTGAATGAAAATCATATGAAATCCTCTCTGCTCTAGTGACCACTCAAGCTGTTGAGAGAACTCTGATTAGAAAGCCAATCTCATCAAAGTAGTACGTATCCTCCGGCACAATCCCATACTTCTTAATAGTATTATCCACCACGTTAAACCACTTGCGTAAGAGCTTTGGATCCCTGCATAAAGCTCACTTGCAGTTGTACTTGCATGAGAATCTAGTCTCTGTCAATGCAAAGCAAAAGAGAAAGTGAGAAAGAGATCATATGTATGTAGCTCAAGAGAGTGTTTTGAAAGCTAGAGAAGAAGCAGATCATATATAAAGTGTGAAAGAACAGAAAAGAAGAATGAGTGGGATTTCTGACTCTCAATCATGAAAATGTGCAGCACCTTGGTTGCAGTGTATGCGATGTACTAAACCATACTGCTCATACATGCGAAAGTCATCAATCTATTTTTCTTATGTGGTGGTTGATTGTTGTATTGACTTGATAAACACATGAAATGAAGAAGAGGAAGTTTGTCTCTCGCTTGCTTGGGTGGATAAGGTTAAGCCCCGCCCAAACAAAAGAGGTTATTGATTAACTTCTGCCTCTCAGCAATTCAACCGCTCCAAAGCATCTAACGAACAACAAACGCTCAACGAACAATTTCCCCGCCCAACAACCACTCCCCTCCACCCATCTCCATGTACCAATGCAACCACTCCTCTTCCCGGTCGCATACAATTGCCATGTTTCCCTGAGATAGTCAGCTTCGTTCCTCAGCTACATTTTCTTTCTTTTGTTTCATTCCGGCCTCATGGATCCCAGTGCTGGTCCTCGTCATCCGCCTCCACGGCCCGGTCAACCCACCACCACCAGCAGATCTTCCGCCAGATCACTCCAGACCAACGCAAACGGAACAGACCTCTCGCGGATGCAGCCTCGGCCTCAGAATGAACAAGAACCACAGCCTGAAAGCTCTGCTGTACCAAAGAAGCGTAGGCATCGCGGCCCTCGGAGACGCAGACATCGTCGGCCATCTTTCGCCCCGCAGCAAGACTCGTCCCATGTCGACTCCGCCGATGCAGAACGAAATGGTGCTTCACCACAGCTCGACGTCCTGGATTCTACTGGTGAACTGGAACCTTCGCAGCGGCGCCGTCCTTCCCTGTACCGCCTGGGCCAGTTAAGTGGTGGGAATTTGAGTGGGACGAGTTTGGATAGCGATGTTCTGCTGGACCATAGGTATGGATTTCATGACTCTGTTGTTTATGGTCATATATATGTTCTCCTGCAGAGTCTACCTTTAGATACACCTGTCATTCGTTTCTTAAAGTCATACAGCAGGCAATGGGAAAGCAGAAATCTGACAATGATATGCTGGAGATTATTGTGATACAGGCACCAACCGATGATGCGCCCTCGTAGGGACAGTCGACTTGCCCAAAGCTATCGACCAGAGGTGCAACCCTCCTCTCGATCCTCAGCAAGAGCTTATAGGCCTTCTTCCAGCGCACAAGGGATTGACGGAGAGGAGTCTGAGGAAGCTGACGATCGAACCCCGTTGATACAACCAAGTTCTATCCATAATTCCAGCTTTGTACGCTATGGGACAAGCTTAGGACGTTCACCTTCTCGCTTACCACTTCTGCCCTCGACAGCCTCCTCCTCCCAGTCAGTAACTGGCCGGCACTCTGCTAGGACTTCTCAAAGCGTACGGAGAGAATATGATGTCAACAACCCACCCTCCGTGCCTGGCAGCCCTCATACTAGGCCAGAACTTGGCTATGATGATCGGATGATCACCGGGCTGGACTTTAGCCCGGGATCTCCTGCAGTCGCCAGCATTACAAGTATGCCTTGTCATGTTATTGATGTTGACGGAGACGGAGGCCAAACCTCGAGACACGGTTCCCGGCTGGCTTCTCCAGGGTTTACTCCTCCGGAGCTTCAGCGACGACGTACCCTTGCTCTTCCCGTCGAAGAAGATGTGTGTTTTCCAACAGGTGCATTGTCAGAGCTGGGTGAAGAAGACTACACTCCCCAGCCTCCAAGAGAGGGATTTGGTAGTGAACGAAGGCGGAGACGGAGACATGTCTGGCCGGATCTTTCGGTGCTGGAGGAATGGAGTCGCGAAGAGAAAGAAGAACGCAGCGGGGGGGTAAGAGCAAAGAACATTAACGAGCCTGTGTTAATCGGAGGCAGGTTGCGACCGCAGAATGCCGGATGGATACGAAAGGAAGAAGATGCTCCATATCGGTTCACATACTTCAACGAAGAGTTCCAGACTACCATACACAGCCAGACGATTTCGGAGCTCGTGCAACCCGGTCAAACATTCCGTACCCTCTTTATCCCTGACCCTCCAGAAATAGAGGATGACTCTTCCGACGAATCCGATTCCCCTGAACTTTCGCAATATCGAGAAAATAGCATGGATACAACTGCTACAAATGGATATCATGGCGTTGATCACTGCCAAAACCCTCAGCAGACCTCTAGTGATGCTACTGCAGTAACCACGGAGAAGACTGGCAGATCTTCAGAAGCTCTACCACCGACTAAAGCTCCCAAGGAAAAGCGATATGGTTCACGTCCAACTTTCTGGCTTGATGTACTCTGTCCTTCTGACACGGAAATGCGAGTTATTTCCAAGGCATTCGGTATCCACAGCTTAACAGCAGAAGATATCATGATGCAAGAAGCTCGCGAGAAAGTAGAACTTTTCCGACACTATTATTTCCTCAACTACCGCACTTTCGAACAAGATGTTCGAAGCGAAAACTACCTCGAACCCGTCAACATGTACGTAGTTGTCTTTCGAGAAGGCGTCCTTAGCTTCCACTTCTCCATGATTCCACACCCCGCAAACGTCCGCCGCAGGATCAGACAGCTGAAAGATTACTTGATCTTAAGTGCTGACTGGATTTCGTATGCCATCATCGATGACATTACCGACGTCTTCGGTCCCCTGATACACTCAGTCGAGAATGAGGTGGATGATATCGACGACACTATTTTGCAGCTCCATTCCGACGACAAAGACGTATCAGACGGAAATGCAGGGGAAGATGGAGAACCACTACCGTCCGGTTCGGATATGTTACGGCGCGTTGGCGAATGCCGCAAGAAAGTGATGAGTCTTTATCGATTGCTAGGAAACAAGGCGGATGTAATCAAGGGTTTCGCAAAACGGTGCAATGAGCAGTGGGAAGTGGCTCCCAAGTCTGAAATAGGGCTTTATCTGGGTGATATTCAGGATCATATTGTGACCATGACAAGTAACTTGAGTCATTACGAAACGTTCGTCTTCTCAGTTTCTCTTCCCAGTCCCCTGCCCCAGTACCAATTTTAAGAATACCTATTCCCATTATAACGTCTATTTTTTCTTTTCTTTGTTGCCCAATGCTAACATATTCAGACTCCTATCCCGCGCCCATTCTAACTACCTCGCACAAATAAACATCCGCATGAACGAGCGACAGGAGAAAACAGCCGATGTTCTCGGCAAACTTACCGTCCTGGGTACAATTGTTCTTCCAATGAATATCATCTGCGGCATGTGGGGTATGAATGTGAAAGTTCCCGGGCAGGATATTGATAATTTGTATTGGTTTTGGTCCAGTAAGCGAAATTCCAATTGCACACCATTTTGAGCAATGGTTCAGCTTTTGTTTTTCTCTTTGCAATTTTTGATAGATCCAAAATTCCTTGCTTTCCAGTCTTCTGATCTAACGGCATACAGTTACTGCTGGTCTCGTCGTCTTCGCCGTCGCCTGCTTCTATATCGCTAAACGTGTATATGGAATTGTATGAGTTGAGACCTCACTCTCAGAACGGTTAGTTTTGGTAACTTGCTCCGTTCCCTTTTGAAATTTGTGGGTGACTTGGTTGGTGAATTGGTTTGATTTCAGTTCTTCTAAGACTTGCATAACTGCCCGGCATGGCGGATGATTTTCAACCGATTCCTTTCCTTTTCCTTTCCCTTCATTTTCCATCTCCTTCATACCTTGATACATGGGGAAGATTTGGGCTAAGCTAAATTCTGTACCTGTGTGTATATGTAATATAACCTTTCAGGGACAACATATATATTTGGAGTTGGGAGTTGGAGTTTTGTTCACAATAAAGGCGTATTTCTGTAACAGTTAACTACGTTGAATAGTTTTCTTTTTCTCTCCAGGCGGTCCAATAATAGAGGAAAGTGTATGACAACTAGCGTAATAAGAATGGAATGAAGATACAGTTTTGCTAAAAAACCATACAATGCACGCCCTTTATCAAGGCTTTGAGACAATGTACGTCTTGATGACATGCTTCAATTAACCATATTCCAGTATACCACCATATTACATATCCTGCAAATGGAATTTATCTAGCTAGTTTAATCTCATTAAGGGAATTCGTTATTTCGTTATATACTCATTCCTATCATTAGAAAGGAGAAATGGAATAATCAAGCAGTGGTGTGAGGAGAGTGAACAAGTCGCACATGACATCATAATGGGAATCGTCAAAAGACGTGCAAGTTACATTCTAAGGAATAAATGACCCCCGAAAGAAAAGAAGAAAAAAATGTACATAACTAAATAGAAAGGTCCAAATCGCAGGTACATATAAGACCAAGAGTGGGGAATATAAGAACGGGAGGACGAACTTACAGATGGCGGCCCAAGGAAAAAAGAAATATAAAAAGAAAAATAGACGTTAAACTGAGAAAGAAGCATGGGATGTGAAATAAATCACAGTAGCGGAGGTCATCTTGTTCGTTCATTCATTGGTATCATCTGGCCCAGTTGAGCCATCCCTTCTTCATCTTTTTAAAGATTTCTACTTCCCCAACTCCCACCAGAGCTGGGCTTCACCAAACACAGCGTCCTATTTTACATCCGTCTTGTCCTCACCGTACACGTGCCAAATAATGATCATCTCCATGATCCAAGAAGACGATGGCCGCGCGCGTCAAACCGATCAGAAAGCTCAATGGTCGTATCTGATTCTACATCGAGGTTGTTGTTGTTATGGACCCTGGTATGGGTTTTGTCGCTCCTATGTTGTGGTGTTGCTGATGTATGGGGGAAACTTGGTGCCGACGGAAATGGTATTGATGCTGGCGAGGCCGTCGATTGGTGAGGATGGTAGGAGGTGTGGGTGCGGGGTCTGTGATGGGGTCGGGAATGAAACCGAAGAGAACGATCCAGTCCGTCCATGGTTGAGTCGCTGTCATCGGTCTCATAGCCTTGATTTTCGCCTTTGGGGATTCGTGCATGTCTATCTGTAGATGGAGACCTGGCGTAATGCGGTCGGAGATCGAATTGGACGGACTTGGCTGGTATCGAGGCGGGTTGGCTGGATGACCTTGGTCGTGAAAAGGAATTGAATAGGTTTCGTGAGGTTGGTATTGGTTGTGGCGATGTTGCTAGCGGCGGTGGGGTGGGAGCGAAAGGAAAAGCAGAGTAGCCGAGACTGGTTGCGGACTGCGCACCAGTATCACTGACTGGGTGAGTTGATGGCAGCAACAGATGTCGCGGGGCTGTTGCCATTATACCTGCAATGATAAAAAGAACTGTATTAGTGAAGTTGTCCCAAAATTGGTTCGTGGGACATCAACCCACCCTCTGATGACATGTGGCGCTGCTCATGTGAGAGGGTGGGATTTGGCGTCGGGACAGCACTCACGTTCTCTTCCCCTTTGATGGACCTGGGTGAGTAAGGGTCCGCTGCAGGAGGAGGTGGTGGGGGGTAGGAGTAGTTTGCCTGTGTCATGGGTGGCGCACCGGGAGACGGCGGATAGTCTGCCGGGTTATATGGGCCTCCTTGGTGGTTGGGCGGAACAGGAGTTGAGCCTGGTGGGGGTGGGAAATGGTTACTGTGTGGGTAGTAATTGGCGCCGTTTGGCGGTGGAGAGGGGACACGGGGAACGGGATCGTAGCCCTCCTCATATGAGTCGGTGTAGTCATGGTCGCGGGCATATTCTGTTCCAAGGGTGGATCGTCAGTATGGTGATATTCTTTCCCACCGTACTTTTTCTTTCTTATTTTTCTCTTCTTTTCTTTCTTCTCTTTCTTCAATTTTTTTTCTTTTATTTTTCTTTTCTTTTTTTTCATTTCATGTGTTTTTTCATGAGCTGGAAATAGCATATCAACTTCGTATGTATAAATACGTTCGAAAAATATGAAAATAAACAACTAGAAAATAGTATAATAAGGACATCCTATGCATAACGTTCAAAACCTTTACGTACTTCTTCGGTCTTTCTCCGCCTTCTTCCGCTCCTGTCTTTGGGTATATTCCCTGGCAGCAAGCCCGGCACCAGCAGCAGCAAGCCCAGCAGTGGCAAGATCTCTAGTACGGCTTCTGCTACGTTCCTTATGATGGCCGGAGCGGTGGTTGCGACCGCCATCATGGTCGGAGAAAGAAGAATTGCTTCCTGAGCCGTCATCACGATAATGATGTCTGTTACGGCTGTGACTCCGGCTGACGCTCCGGTGCCGGCTTCTTCTTCGGAAAGATGATTCAATGGCCCTTGGGGAGGATTGCCTGCTCGAGGGCCGTCCATAGTAGTGATTAGTTGGGATGCTTCCGTACACGGGATCGTCGCCGTACTCTATGAGCTGGGGAGCTGATCCGGAGGGGTCTGAGTAGGCTGATGATGGAACCACGCTTCGAGACCTAGATCTACGTCTATGATGCCGTTGAGAGGATTCGTTTTCCTTTTTCTCCTTGTGCTTTTCATAAAGACCTGCAATTGCTGCACTGCCAAGGCTAGCAGCTGCTATGGGAAGACCCTGCCTAATCCTGCTGCGGGATCTCTCCCCTTTTCGAGATCGAGATTTGCTCCTAGCTCGCTCAATCAATCCTGCTACTGCCGCTCCCGCAAGACCTGCTTCTGCCATTCGCTTGTTGCGGTGGGCAGGGTTTCGACCATTGTCAGACCCAGATTCGGACCCTCGACGATGGCGGGACCGGCTCCGTCTACCATGGTGCGAGTTGCCAGCTTTCTCACTTCTTTGAGACTTTTTCCGGGCTAGCGCAACTGCTCCCGCAATAGCTGCTGCGCCCAATCCGAGGCCTGCCAGAGTTTTGACGCGGGAATCCGGAGATGAGCGACTGCGGTGTCGACGGTGTCGATGGCGATACTCCCGATTGTGATCTCGCCCGCGATCTAGCGATTCTGCGCGTCTGCGACTCTTACTGCGATGGCGACTTCTAGCCCTTTGGAGAACATCAGCAGCTACGGCACCCAGGGCTCCTGCGCCAACGTCTGTCCCGATGCGGCTGAATGCGCTAGATTCCTCCCCATCCCTCTTCTTCGAGCGGTGTCGCACCAATTCAGCAGCACCTACTCCAACTAGTGCACCTTCGGCTAGATGACGTTTGTAATGACGAGGGCTCTCATCGCGATAGCATCTACCTCTGCGGGAGTAGACCATGTCATCGTCACTATTACAGTTGCGACTACGACGGCTCCTGGTCCGATGCGATCCTGAGCTACGAGGACTGTCACCTGCGTAGTAGCGCTCTTCGTACTCATCATAGTGATGACGACCGTCGTCGTATTCTCTGGTGCTTCGGGAGTAATAATAGTCGTCGTCTCGCGGATCACGGGAGCTCCGCAACGCCCACCGCTCGTCAGGGTCAGGTCGGCTGACTAATTGATAATCCGACTCGTGGTGGGAGGGTGCATGGCTCGAAGCACGATAGACTTCTTTTAATAGTTATTGGCTGGGGTTTTTGGTTGATCATAGTATTGTGGGCATGGTAATGATGGAAGGGGCTGATTGGAGTATCACGCTGGGGTACGTAGACTCACGGTCGTAATCTTTCTCCCTACGATATTCGTAGTTATACCGGTCATCTCGATCGTGATGGGGCCGGATGGTGAGCTCGCGTTCGCTCGTTGCGGGCCCATCTCGTCGATACATCGAGCTTTGTTCGGAGGGAATGACGTAACGCTTGACTGAGTAATACCTTTGTTCAGACTGTCGATCGGCCTCGTCCCAGTTACTGTCTCTGTAGGAAGAAGCCATGAGAATCCGTGCCTGAGAATGGATAAACGCAAAATTAAACACAGCAAAGTCGGTCAACAGTGGATTTCAGGGGCCAAGTATTTAACTTGGGTATACGGGTGCTAGAAGAGCGGGGTTGGGGAAACAAAGAAATCAACGACTTCTGCACAGCAGAGCAGGCAATCAGAGATTGATAACAAAAGTCAAAGGGAGCAGAAATAATGACGATGACGATGTCCAATATTGAGTCGCAAGAAAGCATACAAAACAGACAGGAGATGGATTCTGAGGGAGGGAAAAAAAACAAAAAAGCAGGATTTTGCAGGTTACGAATCACTGACGGCTGGGCTGAGAGAAAATGCAACTAACCAGCAAGCGGCCTGGCGCAGTCCAGTGGAGGATGGAATAAGCACACATAGCAGAATGCACAAAGTGTAACTATAGCTAAAACACACGCGGGAAGAAACCAGGAATTTTGATGCAACAGTAACAACAAGAAAAGGAAAGGGAACAGGTTGGGATAATTTATAAGAAAATCCATTCCTCGTTGACTTCTGGATCTGAGGAACAATCCCTTCATTATCCAGCCAAATCGGGCACTGCGGGGTGTGGGAGTGGAGTGCTATGGAGCGCAGATGATCATCTCTCGGGCGTAGACGAGCGAATATGTAGAAGCAAGTTGAAAACAAAAGTGGATTTTTCAGATATAAAACACTTGCGACTCACCAGCCAGTGATAGAAGAAATGAACGGTGTCGATGCCCAACGGCAGCAGTGTCAAGAGAAATACAGCCCGGAACGGATGTGATCCAGTTAGAGGTTGCAAATAGATCGGACGATTTAATTAATCTAACCACTGGGGAGATGAAAAGAAAGGTAATCCTGGAGTTTGACAGGGAAACAGAGGGAAATAGTGAACTCAGGTAGAACGGATAGACAAACTGGGGACGTTATATAACGGCTGGGAGAAGGGCTTAACAATGCCGTTCAAACCTTTAATAATGCAAGGGGTCTACGGGTGACGTCGTTGTAGTTGGTCCCAAGTCGCGCCGTTCAAGTAAGAGTCTGGGCGGAATTCCTGATCTCCGCGGATTGATAATTTCAGGACTAACAAATGTTTTGAAATACTCGCTTCGCAATTACCCAGAGCGATCTGTAAATGCTTCGAGCAGTGTTTCTCAGTGTTGGGTTCAAAGATCGTCCTCTCTGCATTCTGCATTTCCTCTGTAGTTGATTGTTCCCAAGGGTTGCGATGGACGTGGCAGCTTCGCTTCGAGCTTGTCTGTCGGTGATCCAATGAACATAAGGCCATGATTTGAGTACAGCTTGGCTAAAACTACCAGAACGCCCTACGGAACAGGAGCACAATAACGGTAGCCATTCATGTAGACGGGAGCTCACAAGATCACCATCGGCAGGCTCCGGGTTAAAGCGCTATTATTCGCTATGCTCAACAAGGATGAGTGGCGAATGGTTGTAGGTATCATTAGCTATTCGTGAGAATTGCGACTCCGTTAAGAGGCCGTCGGATGAGCAATACAGGCCATGTATCTTCAAATCGCCACGCAATAAAGAGCCGCCTTGGGGCTTGTGAGTCATGAGAGAGCATTATTGAGATGTTTGCTTTTCCACCAACAATAGTTAGTTCCCACAAGGCGAGGCTCCTTGATGCATTTGATGGTTGACCGCGGGAGGCTGTGGCACTCTGCAACAGCTTCATTCATATCAATCACACCGCATTTGTCGTGTCTTTGTGGGTTGTTTAAGCAGAGCCTCATGTCATGCATCTGTTCGTTTCTCGGGTTATGTATGTATATGTACGGAATGTTGGTCCCTCACGGAAGCGTAGGTCGACGTATTTGGACAAAATTATCCCTTATCTTAACGGGAATGCATGGATATCTCGGTTTCTCCCCAGTTGGTTTGTTGGATGCTGGGACTTTCTTCTAGAAATCTGCTAGAGCAGCGCCTAAATGGGGTTCCCCGGACCTTATCAGCCACTTAAAGAGACATAGAGTTCAAGGTCGTGTCTTTGTTCAGCCTTGCGCCCGGCACAGCCTTGGTCTTCCCAACCACACACCACGGGACTCGCATACAGACACACAGTCCAATCCATGTGTGGGTTGGCTGATAGTTACTGGAATGCAAGTGTCTATGAACGACGAGTAGAGTCGAGCTTTCTCCCTATCGTATAGCTGGTCTCGTTTTCCGTTAGTTAAACGCCCCAGATCGCCTTAGCTAACTGCTCGACATTTTCGAAGCTCGGACATATCTGGCCCGTCATGCATCAACACGGCTTCTGGTCGCATTCATAATTCAATTGCATGGTCCACTGAAGACCAAAGCAGACGACTCTTTTCAGGCAGCAGAGATAGTTCATGATATGCTCAGGCCAGACAGTTGTAAATGTATCTGTCTAGTTAGGTAGTTGACGCCCGGTATGGGAGGCCCGGGAAAGAAGAGCAAAACCACGTTTCTGTGTCCATGGGAGGGGGGGGGGGAGGGGAGGGGACAGACAAGGTGAAATCATACAGCTATCATCAATCAGGGCATGGTCAAAATATGAATCGTTTCGCCTATCATCAAATATATTGATAGCTTACGACCTTCGTCTTCTCTGCTGATCGGCTGTGTGTTCTCTTACTTCTCACCACTTGTCATGAGTCCTTTTCTCTCCCTGTGTAAATTGTGTAGCCTTTGCTGTTTGAAGCTGTGTTGGTGGTGATGTGAGGCAGCGCATGTCCGCTGTTCATTTACCTCATCTCTAACAAATTGTGTTTAGTTACTACTCTTCCTCTCTTAGCACTCTCAAAATTTATCGTGGTTCATCCACTCCGCCTTCAAAAAGACTGGCAATTTTGGACTTCTCTGTCTACCGAATCTATCAACATGACTGCTTGAAGTTGAATCTCACATATTGCAATATGCCAACCTTCAATCTGCATTGCATGCATCGAAATAACGATCCAGAGCAGTTCTCAACACCACTTTTCGCCTGTGTGACCCCTTCAACTACTTTCTGTGTAGGTTGTATAAAGTTGTTTACTGGGGGCAAGGTTGTCATACCCCGTATCCTGCAGGTGTTATGATGATCTATGGAAAATGAGGCAGAAAAGATGACGGAAGATGAGAAATGCAGCCTGATGCCTATATGATAATGGTCATCTGTTGTCATTTTCTTCATTCTCTTTTTATTTTATTTTGTTTTATTTGTTTATTATTATTATTATTATTTAATTATTTTTGTTTTCGTTGTTGGCATACAACCAGTTTGTAATCGTCAGAAATGCCCGAAATCCTACCTCCAAGTGCCTTGTCCGTCAATCTATCAATCTACAACGACAGATTACAGTGGGTTTTTTTCCTTTGGTTATTGATTAAAGAGCAGAATGACCCACCCACAATTATATATATCTTCACGAAATCCCTCCAGTCCTGTGGCCCGTAAAGATTCATTCCATAGGTTCAGTAATTTTCTTGCATTCTCTAAAGATCAAGAACGAAATCACTAGAACCCAACATGGGATTCAATGGGCATGTGGCATCAGCGAAAGCGAAAGCGCACAAGTGCTCGGGTCCATGTCCATTTCATCTTATCCCTCTACTGAAATTGTGTCGTACGCTGATTCCCTTACACGATCCGCAACACTTTTGAAACGTTTCCCAAGTCTGGTTTGAAAGGATGTTGGGTTTGTGCAACCTTCAAAAGAGCGAGCTCTTGCGGGTTAATATTACAGCCTTGATCGGATGAAGTGGGGTTCATGGGAGAGTAGAGGCAGAGGGTATGTAGAATACACCAGAAATTGTTTCTGCCTGGACATCTTATTGTCAACTGGAATCGCTCAGATGGGGGTTCGGTAAGAGGTGGTCATAAATATCCAGCAGTCTGTCAATTTATGAATTCCGATAGCCTTCTTCCTCCAAAATTATTAGGAACATAGTCCTATATCAGGCCTCGCTTTCATGAAATGTACAGAAAACAAGGGGACGATCCCTAGGTAGCAATCCCATTTTTGTTCTCGTGGTTGGGGATATGAGGAACGAAGATGCCCAGTTGAATGGACGAGCCAAAATGCTCGTCCTCAAGGGGAATATGTCAGCGGAAGATTTAAGTATGTATTTAGTAAGGTAACTGGCATTCTGGAAAGAATCTGTCATGTCATCGACCGCAGCAAGTCCAAAGAGTTATTTTCTCCAATGCCCACTTGACTCCACTATGACGGGAAGGCATTCATAGTTGAATCCAAACCTGTCATTTCAATCATCACTGAATAACGATACTCGTGGATTATCACTCTATTATGAATAATTCCTTACATATCCATCCATCCAGATGAGGCGCTTTCTGGGAGTGATGCCCACAACAATGTCAACAACACTTGACAGAGACATGGTTTTTTCCGCCTCCATCGTCATCTCGCACCGATGGCAATCTTTCATGTAAGGCTCCAGTTTGCTTGCGGGGTAGTGCAGTCTAGACACCGTAGACTGGCGGGACGACGTCATGTCATGGCAGAGTTGAAAAGGTTGGCAATATCCCAGGAGACCTAGGAGAGAATGAGACTGAAAACAGAAACGAATACCCCGGCCCGTTGAAGAATTCAAACGGTAGAAAGGTACGGTCTGGACCCAACCTGTGTTAAAGTGGTAGTAGTTGGAGCTATTCTCCCTTATAACAGTTTATTAGCTCAAAGAGGGTTGGGAGCGGCTGGGCGTTTACTGGCCAATTTGCTGACATGGTTTCTACGGAACACGGATTAAAGGCTCTAGAAGTGCGGGGAGGATTGAGCTCTCGAGCGCTAGAATTCATGGAACCTGGGAGACATTTGCAAGCCCAGATGTTTTAAGTAGAGCCCAGAAATACATGCGTCTTGGAGTCTGAGGCTGCAGATAGTCTGGTCAAACTGCATTATCTGTTCGACAACGTTTTTTATATTGCTGATACTTGCCGGCTGCATTAGGAGATCCAACCTTGAGGGGGTTAATGCTATTTTATGATAATAATGGCATTCACACTTGGTATTCTGTAGGTCTTGTGATGTGCATATGGCATTCCAATGGACGATGGTATGATATCAACCAAGGGTGTAGTTTCCGAAATCTGGCAGTAGTTAATAGTTTAACTATTGTTAGTTAGAAGTTGGGGTTTGAGTTCAAGTGAAATATGTTAATTATTAGGTCATTTCTCTTTGCTGACAAGATCAGAGTATTGTTTTTTAACGACCTGTTAATTAGTATGATGCCCATCACTAGAACTCACCCGGTATAATACGCCCACTGCGTAAAATTCACCACATTCAACCAATTGCTCTATTATTCCATGAATACTAATAAGCTCACCATTCAACTTTCCATGCTTGGAGGCCTGCTCGTAATACAGCTGCTGCTGTCTTTTGTCCTGAATTTCAGACTTTTTAGTCTGATTTTCAGCCTTCACAGCAGCAGTCTCAAATAAATCATGCTTAATCCTTTCAACATTGTTAAACTCACTATTGAGGTCAAATTGAACTTTCTTTTTATCTTTGAGCTATAAAAGGTCTTTATTTAACAGAAATCTTATAAATTATAACTCTCTGAAATCTTTGCTAGGTATTATAGTTTTAATAATCTTATTAATATTTTCAGATCTTTCAGCTTTAGATAAATATTTTATCAGTTTTTAACTACTTTAATATTTTATATTATTATTATTTATTTCAAGTATATATAGTGTTAAAAAGTATAATATTTATTTAATTAAATTAGAATTAAATTATTTTAAAGATTTAACTTATAAGTATAAATTAATATATGTAATGATAAAATTTTATTCTATAACAAACAGTATTTAAATAAATATATATAGTAAAGAGCAATCTTATATAATTATAATTTTATAAAAACTAATAAAATTAAATAAAGTAGTAGAAATTATAAAATAAAATAAAAAAAAAGATAAAAATTATTAAAAATAAAGAAAAATAATAGTTTAAAAATAATATTAATATATCAATAAAATATAAAAAATAAAATAATATTTTTAAAATTTAATATTTAAATTATATTATTTATATATATATTATATTTAAGTTTAAAATTCATTCTTTGATTGTAATTTTTATTTTTTATATAAAATTAATTAAAAAAAATATATTTAATTAACTAATAAAGTATTTTTCTTTAAGTTTTTTTAAATATTTTTAAAAAATAATTCAATAAAATATGATATAAACTTTTAATTAAATTATTAAAATTATACTTATTTAAATTTATAGAATTTTTAAATCTTTTTATATAGATTTTAAAATAACTATATTCAAATTTTGATTATATTATAGAGAAAAATATTTTTTTCTCTTTATTGATAAATATAACTTAAATTTATTTTATATTTTATATATTGACTATTTTTTTTAATTTTTATTTATTTATTGTAATATAATTCTCTAATTTTCTCTTAGTATAGAATCAAAAAATAATTTTTTAAAGTTACTTATTAAATTTTAGTATTAATTTTTATTAATAAATTTGAA